CCTTTTCCTAAGGAAAAAAACACTGTAGCAGTCAAATGTATATTTTTAGGACTTTTTGACACATATTAGCAAATATCTAATCAGAACAACTGTCTCAATTAACACAGGGATGAAAAAATCTCTATTTCCCTAGTCCTCTTTGCAATACTTTGCCATTCATTAGCTATAGGGAAAAGTTTTCTTTGTTTCAATTAGCACTTCCAAAAATTAATAGGGTCTGAGTATTTTTCCGAATTCTATTTTTATGTATGTATGAATTGCTATCCTTTGCCAAATTTCCATTGAAATGTTTTCTTTCTCATTCATTTGTGCGGTCTCTTTAAATATGACAATTATTAATATTTTCCTAATGTGTTTACTTCATTTAATGATGTTGCTGACACATAGCTATTGAATTTTAATGGAGTCAAATCCAGCAATCTTATTCTTAATTGTTTCTGCCTTTGTTACCATGGTTAAGGAAACCTTTCCTATGCCAAGATTTAAAAAATATTAAACCATACATTCTTCTGGGTCTTTTATAGGTCTGGCTTTTACATTTTACATGCAATCCATCTGAAGGATAGGAGTTACATAAACTTTTACCTTTTTTTTGCCAAATGGTTTGCCTTTTGTCATAGCATCAGTTATTGAACTGTTTGTCCTCTGTAGTGTTTTGAAATGCATGTGAAGTAAAAGAATAGTTTTTTTACAATTTTTAAAATTTACATTGCTGACACCCTCACCCAGCTTCCCTCCTCCCTGTTGAGTGTGTGTCTTAAGATGCAGGCAGTGGTTGAGGACTCGGCCCCACGTAGGATCTGGGTAAAGATTGCTAAGTGTGTGTCAAGGGGATGGTGGGTGGGTCTCACATGGGTCTCATCAACTCCATTCCTAACTGCTTTCCCCTCTACATTCTATTCAATGTGTCTACTTTCCTGAGACACCTGAAGATTTGTTGAGAAAGGTGACCATTCCCCCTTTATAGTCACCTTTTCCCACAAAGATTTGTCATCTACTTTTACAATAGGAACTGAAATGTCCCAACAACTACAGCTGATCCTGACCTCAACAGAACTAACAGGACTTCTAGGTGCTGGGTGTTGTTTATCAGCAGGGAAAATGACTCCCAGGCCTGGGGGTGACACACACAGTCTTACTGACACAGTCTTGGGAGAGAGGGGAGCAGAAACACTCATACAGCATCATTCAATCAGGTGCAAGAACTGGCCCTTGCTTTGGGCCACCTGGGCTTTGAAAATTAAGTATCTGTGGCTGTGTAGAAGGAAAAAAAGAGCGGTGATTGTGCCAGCCCCCTAATGCTCTACCCTTTTCTCTCTCTGACACTGGAACAAGTAATGAAGGAGGCACCACAGGGAGCCCTGTGTTCATGCTAAGAGGTCTTTTGGGAGTGGGGCCTATAGGGCAGTTTCTCTGCAGAAAATTCTCTGTGAGAAAGCTGCTGGCCCAGGTTTGCAGGAAGGGGGTGCATTCTTCTCAACTAGACTGTCAGCTCCCTTCCTAGGAGAAAGGAGTCTGCCTTGTTGACATTTGTGTCCCCAAAACCCAGCACAGTACCTGACATTTAAAAAGGGCTCAGGACATCCAAGTTCAAAGAACTTAGGTAATGATGTGTTGTTAGTAATAGTAATAACTAACATTTAGGAATCAACTTATTACACTTTGTACACTGTATTAAATTAAATGTTTTAACAGGTGGCTTTTTGGTAGAGAACACGGACCTAGCAAAAGGAAGCATTCCTTGTGAAACCCCTCATTCAACAAGATAGTCTCTGAGTGGGAGCTCTGGAGCAGGGAGCCTAGAGAGAAGTACACTGAGGAGAGCTCCAGGATGAAGGAAAACAAGGGCCATTCCAAGGGGGAGGAAGCCAAGCAGTCTCAGTCACCATGAACTTTAATGCCAGTCATCCCTGTTCAAATTCCCTCTCAGAGGCCAGGATCCTATAAAAATCCATTTGAAGGTGGCCTAAGGCATTTAAGAGAGGCTTTATCTCACAGCTTCTCAAAATCAACCCTTGCCCCCTCCCGGTATCATAAAACAGGACCAAGGATTTGACTGCCTGTGCTTGAGTGGCTCATCAGAGAAGTCCCATGAAAAGAGCTCTTGCCCCGTGTACTGAGTGATTCTTCAGTTCAGCTCAGTCATGTCCCAACTGTTTGTGACACCATGGACTGCAGCATGCCAGGCTTCCGTCTCCTTCACCAACTCCCGGAGCTTGCTCAAACTCATGTCCATTGAGTCAGTGATGCCATCCAACCATCTCATCCTCTGTCGTTCCCTTCTCCTCCTGCCTTCAATCTTTCCTAGCATCAGGGTCTTTTCCGGTGAGTCAGTTCTTCGCATTAGGGGCCAAACTATTGGAGCCTCAGCTTCAGCATCAGTTCTTCCAAAGAATATTCAGGACTGATTCCCTTTAGGATTGACTGGTTTGATCTCCTTGCAGTCCAAGGGATTCTCAACAGTCTTCTCCAGCACCACAGTTCAAAAGCATCAATCCTTCAGCACTCAGCTTTCTTTATGGTCTAACTCTCACATCGATACATGACTACTGGAGAAACCATAGCTTTGTCTAGATGGACCTTTGTCAGCAAGGTAGTCTCTGCTTTTTAATATGCTGTCTAGGTTTGTCATAACTTTCCTTCTAAGGAGCAAGCATCTTTTAATTTCATGGCTGCAGTCACCATCTGCAGTCATTTTGGAGACCAAAAAAAAAATAAAGTCTGTCACTGTTTCCACTATTTCCCCATCTATTTGCCATGAAGTGATGGGAGCAGATGCCATGATCTTAGCTTTTTGAAAGTTGAGTTTTAAGCCAGCTTTTTCACTCTCCTCTTTCACTTTCACCAAGAGGTTCTTTAGTTTCTCTGCGCTTTCTGCCATAAGGGTAGTGTCATCTGCATATCTGAGGTTGTTGATATTTCTCCCTGCAATCTTGATTCCAGCTTGTGCTTCATCCAGTCCGGCATTTCACATGATGTACTCTGCATATAAGTTAAATAAGCAAGGTGACAACATACAGCCGTGACATGCCCTTTTCCCAATTTGGAACCAGTCCATTGTTTCAAGTCCATAACTGTTGCTTCTTCATCTGCATACAGATTTCTCAGGCAAGGTGGTCTGATATTCCCATCTCTTGAAGAATTTTCCACAGTTTGTTATGATCCACACAGTCAAAGGCTTTAGTATAGTCAATGAAACAGATGTAGATGTTTTTCTGGAATTCTCTTGATTTTTCTATGATTCAACAAATGTCAGCAATTTGATCTCTGGTTCCTCCGCATTTTCTAAATCCAGCTTGGACATTTGGAAGTTCTTGGTTCACATACTGTTGAAACCTAGCTTGGAGAATTTTGAGAATTTCTTTGCTAGCATGTGAGATGAGTGCAATTGGGTGGTAGTTTGAACATCCTTTAGCATTGCCTTTCTTTAAGATTGGAAAGAAAACTTACCTTTTCCAGTCCTGTGGCCACTGCTGTTTTCCAAACTTGCTGGTCTATTGAGTGCAGCACTTTCACAGCATCATCTTTTAGGATTTGAAACAAGAGTAATTTTTAGGGCTTACAATTCATCAATGCTTCAGACACATAGTCAGTTAATTAAAAAAAATCTATTTATTACCCTAGAAAATACTCTTTTCTCTCCATAATTCATGGGGTACATGCAGAACGATTGTTTTTTTCTGAGTTGACTCACATACTAACCTGCCTTTGCTCTGAAGCAATATGACGGGGCTGGGGGAGGAGGCTAGCCAGGACCCTGACCCTTTCAAGAAGCCTTCACCTAGCCACTGGAGCTGCCACCTGATCCTAACCTTGGTTCCCCACCAGGTAAGAAACCTGTCCAGAATCCTGCAGCTAGTCAGTGATGGAGCTGACAAGCAAATTCGAGAGAAATCCAAACCTGATCTCTTACAGGTTATTTCAGGTGCAAATTCTCACTGACAGTATCTGAAGGGCATAGCTCTCCACCAGATTGAACTACCTTCCTTTCCTACTGTTAGGTAGTCAGAACAGGAAAAAGGAGTCCAGAATGGCGGTGGTTAAAGGACAAGGAAGGGGAAAGCCCGGGAAAGAAGAACAAAGGAAGGTCTGAGGACCGGAGTGAGAACCACAGGTAAAACACACAGCCCTCCTGGCTAGCCCAGTTTACATAGGGAAGGCTCAGGGGGAGGAGAAAAAACATATAAAAAGAGGGGCCAAAATTGGGCCTGGGGGCCTCTCTTCTGTTTTTTGGGTCGGCATGGCCTCATGCCGGGAAGCTGTATTTTCCTTTACTTTCTAGATAAAACTGAGCTGTAACATGTACCTGTAACACTGGTCCATCCATCACTTCAAATTTTTGTTGCCAGGAGACAGAACCAAGGAAATTACACACTCCCCCGACACTACGTCTTGGAATTCTCCAGTGGTGTTTCAAATTCTCTTCTCCCACAGACTTCGCTTGAAATATTTGCTCCTTCCCTCAGAACTCTAATTTCAGAACACTTAGTCTTGGCTCAGGGAACTGCTCGACACAAAACCTAAGCACCCCAGGCTTTATCAACTCATTTCTTCCCAACTGTTTCCTTCCACAATGCCATTCAAGACCCCTGGCTCGGAGGGTGGCTTCACCAAGCTGCCATCCCATGCCTAGCTAATCTGAGTGGCCATTTGGCGCTCTTGGTCGTCGCTCTACGACCGCGAACAAGTCTGCGCCTCTGACTCGGTCCAAACAGGAGTGACCTGAGCGCCCAGCGCTCGCCTAGACCCGCCGAGCGGGTCGCATCGCCGAACTACGTTTCCCACAGTGCTCGGGGAAGCCGGGGCCGCCAAGGCACGGAGCTGGGGCTCGCGCGGAGCCTCCTGGGAGTTGTAGTCCGGTCCACTCGCGCCGGCGTTCCTAAGGGCTCGGTGCCGGCCTTTGTCTGTCTGCGGTCTCGCGCGGCTGTGGTGAGTGAGGCCGCTGGCTGGGTCAATACACCCAAACAAGGCAGGGCCCCGCCTTCAGGCCGCCGCCTCCGACCCCCACCCCGTCGCGTCCCTGAGCAGGCCTGACCAGCCTGGAGCCTCCCCAGAGAGGCCAGCTGCGAGGCGAGAGGTCTGCGGCCCGCAAGAAAAGGTCTAGCTGGACCGGAGAGCGGGGTGCTGAGGTCCGGCGCGGGTCCGGGTGGGGAAATCGCTGAGGCGGGGAATGGCAGTCTGTCGGGAGGAGCAGGGGCCCGTCTGCTGCAAGGCAGGGCCGGGAGTGCGGGAAGGCCCCGCACCTGGAGACGCGGGAGGGACCATAGGCAGGTGTGCCTCTGGGCCCGCGGGGAGGGCTTCAGAAGATGGAGACGGGAAATGCAGGCTCTAGGCTGGGTGAAAGAAAGAACAAATTCCTCTGAGTAGGGAAATAGGAAAGGAAAAAGTGAATTCCGGCGTGCGGGGAAAATAATCACCCCTCCCCAGAATCTCCTAGTCCTGAAACTATGCCCCGGATACAGCAGAGTTCCCCCTGTCCTGGTCCTTCACTGAGTGAGGACTCTCACCTTTAGGCCTTAAGTCTTTTAGGTCATGTCAGAGGCCCTTCACGTTTGACTCTCTGATTCTCCCAGAAGCTACTTGATATTACAGCATTTATTAAGTGAGTGAGTAGGTCAGGGCTGTTTGGTTCCTTCTCCAGTGTCATTTAAGGGGAGATAGAGGGTAGGATTCGTCTCTCGTGGCCTCATTGTGAGCAGGATATAATGGCTTTCTTGATAGGAAAATATTTTCTATTATAAAGTGTCTTTCTACAGAATCTTCAGGAATTTGATTCCGCACACCTGTGGAATCTATGGAGAAAAATATGGCAATTTCCCTTCATTAATCAGGAGGTTCTTGAAACATAGTTGAGCTGTTATTTGAATATCTCACAGCCTGTGGAGAGGCACAGCTGAAGATTCTACCCAAGGTGTTCTGAGCAAACTATTTGCTGACTCACCAAGGACAGGGTCCAGCCTCAGGCAGCAGGTACCCATGTACTTTTCAGTGACTCTTGGTGGATGTGTGGTTGATCTAGCACTTCCAAGTGAATGGTGCTGTGATGTCCTGACACCAATGGGGCACTGCTTTGTGGCTTGCAGTGCAAACTGGAGCTGAGTCTTTCAAATAAGAGTTTTTAATGCCTCTACAGTCATCACAACATATAGCAGGAGGTGCAGCTATCAAGAAGACCAGATACTTGGGTTAACAAAGAACTGTAGCATCACACTGCTAATTTCATTAAATCAGAAGGCCAGCATTTTCATGGGATATGTTAGAGGGAAACAAAGATTATACACACTGAACCACTGCATTAAGTGTAAGAATTCAGTAATTAGGGTCCTGAAATAATATTCCCCCTAAAATAGAAAATGATAATATGGAGTAGGACGATTCCTAGGATCTGGAAGAATAGTAGTCTGGTCAGGCTCTGTTCCATTCACTTTTTAGTGATGAGAAAGTAAAGAATTGTCTAGACATAGGCTTTGGATCCAAGAAGTCTTGGATTTGAACCTTTGCTTCACCTTGACTCCGTACTCGCTCTGGGACTTGGGGCAAGTTACTTGGATTTGGAATCTGAAGTAGTTCTTTTTCCAAGAATTGACAGGTAGTACGCTTCCTCAGAACTAGTATTCTCATATTTTGAAGAGCCTCCAAAGAAGAGCTGAAAGGAAACATGAAAGCTCTTGTTCTGTCCTAATAATCTAGAGGGGACTGGAGAGGAAAGTCAGAGACATTTCAATCACAGAACCAATTATTAAGGCTGAAATGTTTTTTATAGTCTGAATTCCTCTGGAAGCTTGGAGGATAAAATAGCAGGCAGTTAGGCGGGGGAAGGAAGTGGAAGATTCCAATCCCATGCAAAAGCTAAGGTACAAATAGTAAGGACCATTTTTTGGCATTGGCAGGAAGACAAACATGTTTGGCTTTTTGTCTTCTCTACTTTTGCACCTCTTGCTTCCTCCTGGACTCATTTATAAGTAGCTATGGTACCTCTTGGCCCATTTTGCAATTATGTTATAGATGACTGGTATTACATCAGGCAAACAAGATTTCCTCCATTCACTCATACCCCAAACCAGAGCTCCTGTTGACTGTTCTCACTTATCAATTCTCTTACCCATTCCTGTTTTTGTTGTTCTGTTTTTGTTTTTCCCTCCCTAGGTACTCAAGTACAGCCCATGGAAGAATCATACGAAGAGGTGGCGATTAAGCTCATACAGCAGGAGTGGACATGTTTGGATTTCCAACAGCTACCCTGCTGGACTGTCATGGAAGATATGCCCAGAATGTAGCCTTTTTCAGTGAGTCTGTTGATTGCTGGGATGCCCTCAAGTCACAGTAGTCAGTGTCCCTGTTCTCACCACTGGACAACAGGCTGGGGATGCAGAGAAGATGTTCCTTTGGTGAAACTCACTATTTTTAGGGGTTACAGAGAAAGCCTACAAGCTCGAGTTAGAAACAGCAAGGGAACAGTTTTGATATGGAGGTAGTATCTGAGAAAATGAATGAGCAGTTTTAAATCTCAGCACAATCACTGAATGAGCAATGGTAAGACAGAGGAACAAGTTGAAATCTACCTAGGATGACTCCAAGAAAACTATTACTAGTGATGAATGGACTCATTTAAAGTGCAGTAGGAGGCTCATATACAGGGCAATATTGGGAAATACTGTCAATATCTGCATAGGAAGGATTGAGAAAAACTTCCAAACCAAAACTGACTTCAGTTTCACCATAGCTTAGCAGATTGAAACAGCATGGATTTTAAAGGGAAAAATTCCTTGGATCAAATTCTATGATTGCCATGACTGGATCTGTGGTATCAGACAAGTTATTTAACCTTCTTGAGCTTCAGGCTCTTCATCTGGAAAATGGGACAATAAGTTCTATCTTGCAGGTTTGCAGTGATTAAAATTAATAGATGTAAAGTATCCAGGATTCTGCTACATATATCCTGAGAGCACAGGCCTACTCTACCCCACTGTTAAGGAGAGCAGACTGGAGCAGAGGTGGATTTCTCATGAAGCCTACAAAACTTAAGCTTCAGGAGCTTTCCCTTACACTGGTCTCTTTAAGGTCCTACCCCTACTTTTATATTGCTTTTTAATGGGAATCTCTCCAAAATTTAAAACGTTAGGCCCCATACAACCTGGATCCGCGCCTGTCTTGGTGTCAGATAAAACTTCAGTATGGGACTAAATGTGATCTTTTTTTTTTTTTTTTTTTTTTTTGGTAGTCTTGTTTATCTCACAAGACCTACAAAAATTATGGGGGGAAAGTGCTCTATAGCCCCTCCGCAAGGGCAGGGGACGAATGTGATCTTATATAGTTTTATTTTTCTGGCTTGTTTTCTTATCTGTAAAATGGAGATAATCATGTCTATACACAAGACTATTTGGGAAGCTAAATTAAACTAAATTTAGAGGCAGTACACTGCTACAGAGTGTGCCTGTGTCTGAGTCCTAATTCTGTGCTTACCTAGAAGTGATCTTTGATAACCTCCCTATACATTCATTTCTTAACTGTAACAAAAGATTGTTTTCAGGATTATCTATGCAAAGTTTATAGTATAATATTTGGCACATAATAAGCACTCAAAGCATTGTTTCTTTTTTCCCTGTTCTTCTCACTCAGCATATTGGTGCATCTTACATGACTTCCCTCTCATTTTACCAGATGTGATGACAGAAGCCCACCAAAAATATGATCACTCTGAGGCCACAGGATCCTCAAGCTGGGATTTCCAGAATTCTTTCAGAAGAGAGAAGCTGGAACAAAAATCCCCAGATTCTAAGACACTACAGGAAGATTCACCTGGAGTGAGACAGAGGGTCTATGAGTGCCAGGAATGTGGAAAATCCTTCAGGCAGAAGGGTAGTCTAACATTACATGAGAGAATCCACACTGGTCAGAAGCCCTTTGAGTGCACCCATTGTGGAAAAAGCTTTAGGGCCAAAGGCAATCTTGTTACACATCAACGAATACACACAGGAGAGAAGCCCTATCAGTGCAAGGAGTGTGGGAAAAGCTTTAGTCAACGAGGTAGTCTGGCCGTTCATGAAAGACTCCACACGGGACAGAAACCCTATGAGTGTGCTATTTGTCAGAGAAGCTTCAGGAATCAAAGTAACCTTGCTGTTCACAGAAGAGTTCATAGTGGTGAGAAGCCCTATAGATGTGATCAGTGTGGAAAAGCCTTCAGTCAGAAAGGAAGCTTAATTGTTCATATCAGAGTCCACACAGGCCTGAAACCCTATGCCTGTGCACAATGCAGGAAGAGTTTCCACACCAGGGGGAACTGTGTTCTGCATGGCAAAATCCACACGGGAGAGACACCCTATCTGTGTGGCCAGTGTGGGAAAAGCTTCACTCAGAGAGGGAGTCTGGCTGTGCACCAGCGAAGCTGCTCACAAAGGCTCACCTTGTAACCACTCTCTTCAGAGGAAGTTCTCTTTATGAATTAACAGCATAAAATCACCTGAGATTAAACAGCCTATCCAGTTTTATGGAATGAATGGAGACTCTTTCAGAAAGACCATCACTGGGTAGAGCAAACTGAGTTTTCTTTTTTCCCCCCAAATGAGTATGAAAAATAAATGTCTTATTATCATTATCACGTACGGTTCATAATTTCTGTCCATTTATTTCAACTTGATTTCCTAAGGTACTTCCATTAATTTAGTACACAATTGGAGATGTATGTAGCAGATACAGGTTTTATATTTGCAATTGACACCATCGGCCTATTCAAAAAATCCAGCCCCTTACCAATCCCAAGATTCTTTTCTTCTCTACATATTCAAATTAATTTTGTTTTACATTCAAGACCAGTGGGCAGAATTTATGAGGCAAATCTAATAATCTCTCATATTCAACACTGTATTATCTGGATGATAGCCTCAAGAGCATATTCTAACAAATCACCCATGTTCGTAGCAGAGACCCTAACTTTTCCTTGCAAAACAGGATCCTTTCCAAGTCTGCACTGTGGTTCACTTCAGTCTTCCACTCCTAACTAGGATAGAGATTACTTGCTTATAGCCAAAGAGCAGAAAAGTATCTACAGTTTGGGAAGACATATGATGACTTTCATTCCCTTTTGGCAGCAGTAGCAGTATCTCAGAATCACCCAGTAAGGGCATGTGTGTGTGCACTTAGTTGCTCAGTTGTGTCCGACTCTGCGACCCCTGGGACTGTACCTGCCAGGCTCCTCTGTACTTGGAATTTTCCAAGCAAGAATACTGGAGCGGGTTGCCATTTCCTCCTCTGGGGGATCTTCCAAACCTAGGGATCAAAACTATTTTGCATCTCCCGCATTGGCAGGCAGATTCTTTCCAACTAGGCCACCTGGGAAGCCCAGTAAGGGCATAAGTGTTCTCATTACTGAACTGATTTGTAGTCAATAATGAAGATCCAGTCCTCCAACAACACAGTCCTCTTCCTGCACACATGCATGGACACACTGGAAGAAAATTTGGAAGGATAATCTATTAACTTTTTTTTAACCTCTAGTAGATGAGATTTGAGGAATATTAGAGAAAAGAAGTTACTTTTAAGAGAGAATTTCCGTTTCTGTTTTTTAACTTTAGCTATCTCTACATTTTCATTGTGAGCTTTTATGTAATTAAAATGATGATGTAAATAGAATGGTTTTCTTGATAAGATTCTCATTCTTTCTTTATCCTATAAACTGTAGGTTCTTATAAACCACAGGTTCCCTCTGCTGCTGCTAAGTCAACTTCAGTCGTGTCCGACTGTGTGACCCCATAGACGGCAGCCCGCCAGGCTCCCCTGTCCCTGAGATTCTCCAGGCAAGAATACTGGAGTGGGTTGCCATTTCCTTCTCCAATAGGTTCCCTCTAGTAGATCCTAATAGGCTGGAGGCTCCTATTCTTGGAGGATCCCAAGAAACTTGACAGAAAATAGGTAAATTTTATCAAAAGATCTTTGAACATAGAAACACTACGGGTTTGAATTGTTGTTTAGTCACTCAGTCATGTCCAACTCTCCTGCGACCCTAAGGACTGCAGCCCACCAGGCTCCCCTGTCCATGGAATTTCCCAAGCAAGAATGCCATTGCCATTTCCTTTTCTAGGGGATCTGCCCCATCCAGGGATCAAACCCACATCTCCTGCACTGGCAGGCGGATTCTTTACCACTGAGTCACCAGGGACACCCCTTGGGTTTCAACAGTAATACAATATTGCTCCTAAAGTACCCTGATAATATTTGAAGATGCATATAAAAATGTTCATATCATCCTCATTTATTTATAACTGAAAACAGCCCAAAGGTCCAATAACAGGCGAGGTAATAAACGATGGTACAGTCATAATAAAATACCACTCGGCAATTTTAAAACTGATAAATGCAATAACATAGAAAAAAAATCTCAACAATTTGTGTTGAGTAAAAGAACCCAAACATACACATATAAATATATGATTCCATTTATATGATTTCACAGAACAGAAAAAACTAATCTGTGTTAAAACATGTCAAACAGTGGTTGCCTCTATGGACAGGGATGGAGGGGCCTTACTTGAAAGAAGCGCAAGACAAGCTCACAAAGAAAAAATATTCTATTCTTTCTTCAGGTGATAGATGCATGGGTATATACAGCTGTCAAAAGTGATTGAACTTAATACTTAGAATCTATGCATGCATGTAGGTATGTAAAATACACTTTATATATATATATAGTGGATGTAAAGTTTAATAATGAAGTAATTTTAAAACACTGCCCAGTTCTTTGATACCCATCTCATGTCCATATCATCTCCCTTTAAATCCAGGTAGGCCTGTGACAGCTTCAAACAATGAAACATGGTAGAAGTGATGCTACATGACTTCCCAGAATAGGTCTAAAAGCCCTTTAAAAGTCTGAAAAGTTCTGCATGATTCTCAGGACACCTACTCTGGAGACAACCAGGTGCTAAGTAAAAAACTCCAACTATCTCAAGGCCACTCTGCTGGACAAACAGTATGTAAGTGCTCCAGTGGACAGGTTCACCTTACTTCCCAACAGTCAGCATAAACTCTCAGTCATGTCAGTGAGCCATAGTAGATGCCTAGCCCAGGAGAATCTACAGATTGACTAAAGCCCCAGATGACACCTCATGAAAACTAGATGAGAAACCCGCTAGTTAGAACTTTCTTGCCAACTTCCAAACACACAAAATCATGCAAAAAATTAAAGGTTATATTTTTACACCACTAAATTTTCAGGTTATTTGCTATACAGCAGTATTAGTTAAGATATCTATGGAGAAACCCCTGTAGTTTTTACCTGCTGATGCTGTCTGTTGGAGAATAAATTTTGAATGGTTAAAAAAAAAAAAAAAGATATTTCTTAAGGATAAACTATTTTGAAAAAATGAAAAATCTGGGGAGCAACTTAATACTGATAAAAAAGGTAACTATGATTTATGGTTCACAGGAAAGCTTAAGGTTTAAAAATAAACATTCCCTTTGACAAAATAGGAGGTAAGGTTTAGATCAGCTAACACAGATGCAATCCAAGTTATAAAATAAAGAAGTTTTTGAGTTGGCCAAAATGTTTGGTTTTTCCCATAAGATGGATCTAGTAGTGCTTGTCTGTAACTTCATTCAAAACAATTTTATTAGACTGTATAGTGATAGCTGTCATATCAGTATGCATTTTTTAAAAACTTGTCAACATCAGTGAGTTTTTGTGTAAACATTTTAATATTGAAGACAGAAGAAAAAAGCAATGTTTTTCAGCATTTTATGCTTTATTATTTCAAGAATGGTAAAAATGAAACTGAAATGCAAAAAAAAATTGTAGTGTTTGGAGATGTTGTGACCAACTGTGTCAAAAATGGTTTGCAAAGTTTCATGCTAGAGATTTCCTGCTTTGTACAACAAAAGTGATTCACTTATCACATATATATGTATATACAGTATTTTTGATTTGCATTTCTCCAATAAATGGCAATGCTGAGCATCTTTTCATGTGCCTGTTGACCATCTAGATGTCTTCTCTGGAGAAATATCTATTTAGGTTTCCTACCCACTTTTTGATTGGGCTTTTACTTTTTATTGAGCTGTATGAACTGTTCATATATTTTGGAAATTAAGCCCTTATTGGTCATATCATTTGCAAATATTTTCTCCCAGTCCATAGATTGTTTTTCCTTTTGTTTAGTTTCCTTTACTGTGCAGTTTGATTAGATCCCATTTGCTTGTTTTTCCTTTTATTTATTTTTCCTTGGGAGACTGACCTAAGAAAATATTGCTGTATCAGAGAATGTTTTGTCTATGTTCTTTTCTGGGATTTTTATGATGTTATGTCTTACACTGAAGTCTCTAAGCAATTTTATTATTGTGTATAGTATGAGGGAGTGTTCTAACTTCATTGATTTGCATGCAACTGTGCAGCTTGCTCAACACCACTTGCTAAACAGACTCTTTTCTTCACTGTACATTCTTATTTCCTTTGATAAAGGTTAATTGACAATAGTTGTGTTTATTTCCAGGCTCACTAGTCTGTTCCACTGATCCCTGTTTTTGTGCCAACACCATTCTGTTCTGATTACTGTAGCTTTGTAGTACTGTATGAAGTCTGGGAGAGTTATGCCTCCAACTTTGTTCTTTTTCCTCAAGATTGCTTTCACAATTCTGAGTCTGTTGTGGTTGTATGTAAATTTTAGGATTACTTGTCTAGTTCTGTGGAAAATGTCATGGGTAATTTGGTAGAGATTGCATTAAATCTGTAGACTGCTTTGGGTAATATGGCCATTTATACATATAATTCTTTGCAACTTGCTTTTTTAGCTTAAGGTATCATGTAGATATTTCTGATTGTAAATAGAGCTCTGCCTCATTCTTTTCACGTGCTACATAGCATTCTGTAGTAAATGTTCTCATATAGACATTTAAGTTCTTCAAATATTTCACTAGTATAAACCAGACAGTAGTATAAACTACAATGAGTATCATCACTAGTGAGACATTTTCCAGGACAGTGGGTCACAGAATATATTTGTTAAGTATGTAATTTATTGAATGTCTCCTCTTTCATGGTCAAAAAGGAATAAACTATCTCTGCATGATTTACCAAACTACATTTGATGGCTCAAATTCTGAATTTTACTATGAATTTTCTTATATCATCTGAGGCCTGAATTCTGAGGGAAAGCCTTCCCACATTCATTACATTCATAAGGTTTTTCTCCAGGATGGATTTTCAGATATTCAACAAGGCCAGAGTTATGCCTGAAGGACTTCTTATATTTCTTACAGTGATAGGGTTTTTCTTTAGTATGAATTCTCCAATGTTCAATAAGGGCTGAGCTCTTCATGAAGGCTTTTCCACGATCATTATATTGATAGGATTTATTCCCACTATGAGTTTTCTGATGTCCAGCAAAGGATAAACTGTACCTCAAAGATTTTCCACATTTATTACAGTGATAGTTTCTCTCCTGTTTGCATTTTTGATGATTAATAAGTCTTGGAATTTTCCTAAAGGATTTTCCATATTCATTACATGGATATGGTTTCTCACCAGTATGTATTCCCTGATGTTCCAAGACAGCTGAGTTATCCCTGAAAGCTTTCACACATTCATTACATTTAAGGCTTCTCTCCACTATATATTTTCACATGACAAGCAAGGCCTGAATTCTGAGCAAAGGCTTTCCCACAATCTTTATATTTGTAGAGTTTCTGACTAATATAATGAAGTCTTTGGTGACTTAAAAGGACAGAATTATTTCTGAAAGCTATTCCACATTCATTGCATTTATGTGTTTTCTCTTTAAAATGAATTTTCTGATGATTAACAAATGTTGCATGATTCTTGAGGAACTGCCCACAATTAACCCATCTGTAAGACTTCCTGCCTATGAATTTTATGATTTAAAAGGGACGAGCTGCTCTTAAGGGCTATCCCACATTCTTTACATTTATGAGGTTTCTCATCATTATTTCTCTAATAGATAATATTTGAAGTCTTTCTCACTTTCCTCTCATTTATAGTGTATCTTCTCTGTGCAGCTGCTGCCTTCCCAGTACAGGATGCTTACCATCATGACACTCTGTTTGTTCTCCCAAATCACATCTCTCAGTATTTTGCTTTAGGGCTGACATCTTTGTTTCAAATACACACTCTTGAACCAAAAAAAAAAAAATTTTAATTTCAATGTTATATTGAAATACTGAAAATGAGAGCTGCACATGGATAATAATGTTCTGGTCTATACAGCTAAAGGTTATGTAAAATTAATTCATCCCACTTGTGATTCTTGCTAAGAAAAGATGGCAAGATTAAAGACTGGAGAAGCAAGTAGGACCCAAGCAAATACAAAGTGTTAGTTGCTCCACTGTATCCAACTCTTTGCAATCCCATGGACTGTAGTCTGCCAGGCTCCTCTGTCCATGGAATTCTCCAGGCAAGAATACTGGAGTGGGTTGCCATTCCCTTCTCCAGGGGATCTTCCTGACCCAGGGATTGAACCCAGGTCTCCTGCATTGCAGGAAGATTCTTTACCATCTGAGCCACCAGGGAAGTCCCAAGGAAACAGAAGGAAGGCATATGATAAATACTGTATTTATGACTTCCCTGGTGGTCCAGTGATTAAGAATCCACATGCCAAAGCAGGGGAGACAGGTTTGAGCCCTGGTCCGGGAAGATTCCACATGCTATGGGGTAACTAAGCCCATATACCACAACTACTGAGGCCACGCTCTTCAGCCTACAAGCCACAACTACTGAGCCCCCACGCCACAACTACAGAAGTCAAAGTGCCCTAGAGCCCATGCTCCACAACAAGACACTGCAATGAGAAGCCCAAGCACTGCAACTAGAAAGCAGCCTCTGCTCCCCACAACTAGAAAAAGCTCTCATGTAGCAATGAAGACCCAGCACAGCTGAAAATAAAATTAATTAATTTTAAAAGCATATATTGTATTTAAAGAATGTAAGGAGCATCTAAGAAGTTGCAAAGTTAGGAAGGTAACATTGGAAAACACCAAAACAGAAAAAAGATTAAAATGTAAGGATAGGGACTTCCTTGCCGGTCCAGTGATTAAGATTCTGCCCTTCCACTGCAGGGGGCATGGGTTCGATCCCTGGTCAGGGAACTAAGATTTCACATGCCACACTACACAGCCTGAAAAGAAAAAAAAATAAAATATGAGAATAAACACAACTTTGGGGAGAAAACCATACATCACAAAGCCAGGATTACTAGGACACATTCCAAAAGGGTGGTACATTTGAGAACATTATAATGTAACACTGTGCATCTCCAAGAATTTCAGAATAACATTCCTCTGCAAGAATTTAGCAGCAAAGCAACATTTAATGGCTCAGAGATAAAGATACACATACACATATATACACACACCTTTATTTATATATATATGTTTGTATTCATTAGCCTGAGAAGAAATTCCATGCATCAAATACTAGAGCTGAGATTTATTTTTTTAAGTAAATGCAAGTTGGAGGTGAAGTCTGGTAATAAGCAGCCCAAATGGCCTTTGATGAGATATGTATTTAATGTGTGATTAAGGTCGAGAAAATTTCAAGATACTGATTGTAAAGGTTAAATGGAGGCAAACTAGTCATATGAAGAAAAAGGCACTCTTAAGGACCCATGTTCTATGATGAAAGAGCATTGCAAAGCAGTGATGAAAAGGAACTTACATTGGCATATTGGGGAGGAGGAAGGCGTAAACACGAATCCTACCTCATAGCACGCATGAAAATCAATTGTAAGAGCATGAAAAATCTAAATGTAAAAGACAAGCAATAAAGCTTCTAAAAGTTAACACAGAAGACTATCTTCATGACTTGAGGAAAGGCAAGATTTATTAAAACAGTACACAAGACACAATGTCAAGAAAGGAAATGAGCTCATTAAAATTAAAAGCTTCTATTCATCAAAAGGCCACTATTAGTGAAAAGCAAGCTACAGGGAGAAGGGGAATACACATATATAATCAACAAAGTTTTTTGAATAAATTCTTCATAAAAGATGGCATATAATGGCCAAAAAACATTTGACAAGTCCTCCACTTCATTAGATATCAGGGATATGAATATTAAGATACAATGAGATACACAATAGACTTTAAGAACAATTAACTTCAAAGGACTGACAATATTAAAAGTTGACAAGGATATGGAACAATGAGTACTCTCACACACTGATGGTGAAAATGCAAACTAGTACAAAACTTTGAAAAACTATCTGGCAATATGTGCTAAAGTTGGATACATACATATCCTATAAACTAGAAATCCCACTCCGAGGTAGAATCATGCCCCCCAAAAATGTATTTACATATGAACCAAGCAATAATATATATGACAGTTCATAGCATTAAAAGCTAGAAACATCCCAAACATCCATCTAAAATATGAGATAATGAAATATGCTATTGCATATTTTTTACAAGACCAGTAGTAGACTAGTTTTACAAGATGAGTCTCCAGGTCAATAACATCACCATCACCTAAGAACCTGTAGAGACTTTTAGTCCACACTTCAGACCTAATGAATAAAATATTCTGAGGGTAGGGCCCAGCAATTATGCTTAAACATGCATAATAATGTTGTAATAATCCACAACAAAGACAATGTATGAAAATGGATGAATCTCAGAAATTGCTATGCATAAAAAGCCACACCATATACATATATATATATATGTATAGCTTCATTCACATAAAGTTAAAGAAACAGGCCAAAATAAATTATGGTGTTAGTTCAAGGGGTGGAGGAGAATGTGGCTATGACTGGAAGGGATCGAATATGATTTAGCACAGTACTGGCAGTGTTCTATTTCTTGACCTGAGTGCTGATTACATGAATATTCATTTCAAAAATACCAATTTAGACCGTATGTACATAAAATCAACTCTTCTATAAGACTTAAGAAAGAAAAAAGTTAGCTTATGACTTCCTGAATACTTGGATCAAAGAAATGCAAATTGAAAAATATCTAAAAAATAATGATAATAAAAGCTACAATACAATCAAAACACTACACAAACAAGTTTACAGCTTTAAGTATTTACATTACATAAACAAGAAGGAAAATCTATGAATTGATTAAAGAATCAACTACAAAAGTTTAGAAAAAGGAAATAAACCTAAGGAAGAGAAAAGAAAAAGGAATTAAAGATTTTTTAAAAAGGAAAATAGTAACACTAATAAATACATCTAAGAGTTCTTTAAAAAATAAAACAGAGCTAATGAAGGGGGTGAAATGGAAAAAAACCCAAATACTGTAAGAAATTATAAGTAACCATGAATACGGAAGATAAAAGTAACCATAAATATAAAGGATAAATGTAGAAACAAAAAGGACTACTAAGTATGCAGACAAACTTGAGAACTTTAATTACTGGATATTTTTTAGGAAATTGGAAATTATCAAAACTGTTTCGAGAGAGAGCAAGAATTTCAGTTGGCCAAATCACTGTATAAGTGAGAATACTGTTAAGAACTATCCCCCAATTCCTCTGTCCTACTACTCCCTGTATCACAAAAAGTTTTTTTTTTAAAAAAGCACCCAAACCTTCATGGAACCACCTACCACGTAAATTAAAGTATGACCAAGTGAGGTTCTACTAAGAATGCAAAGCCACTAAATAAATTTATCGTATTAACAGATCAAAAGGGAAAAGAAAAATATCTTCATATATGTTGAAAAGGCATTTGATAAAATTCAATGTCCATGCTTAATTTGAAAGAACAAAACTTTCTTAACAAAAAGAAGTGAGCAGGAAGAAGGCACGGAACACCTGCCTGGAGTCAAGCCTTGCAGCAAGCTCCAGGCCAAGCTCTGTGAGTTACTCGGGCGCTTTCGCCAACAGGGGTGGAAAGCCTCCTCGGAGGTTCAATCCCTGGACCTCAGCGCAAGGCTTTAATCCTGCTGGGACACCACGGCTCCAGGCGTTCCACCGCCACCACCGCCCGCACCGCCCTACTACTTGCCCGGCCTCCTAGCTCGCTCCTTCCTCAACCTGCCCCTCGAGGAAAGGGGGAGCGCAGCGGTCTGTGTCCCTGCCCGGCAGCAGCCATTCTCGACCGAGCTGGGAGGGCGCTGCTGCAAAGCTCCGCACAAAACAGCCACAAGAACACCAAACTGTATTTACCGCCGAAACCCAGAAGCAAGCGGATGCCGCGCTCCACTCAAACGAAGACTGACGAGGCCGGAAACGGAAGTGTCCGTTGAGGTTTCTGGGAAATGTAGTCTGGGATACAATCCAGTGGCTTAGGGTCTTCATCCCACGTGCAGGTTGGCATCACCTGGGGAGCCTGGAAAAGTAGTTATGCCTTGGTCCCAGCTCTACAGATTTTGCGTTAATGCTCTGGATGTGATCCCGGCATCGGGATTTTTTAAAGTTCCTAAACGATTTTAATATTCAGCCAAGACTGCACCCACTGCTAGAAACTGATTTGGATCTGCAAAGCAGGTTCTAAGTTTTCCTTTGGGTGAGCTATTTATGGTTTGCTTCCAAATAATCCTGCTTTGATTTCAAACAAAGAAAAGGTGTGAACACTAAAAATATTTTCTCACCATTAACTGACATAGAACATGGAACAAGATTTAATCAATTTTAACAAATGTATTATTTTCTAGAGGAAAAAAATCTACGTATGAAATTCAGCAATCTGACAGCTAGGAAGGAAAAATACATCTCTTTAATTCAATTAGGACTTTTTATTTCAAAGAAAATTTCTCAGAATGGGGCATGCATTCACCAACCTACCAAGGATTATTGTGTCCCACTATATGCCACTCACTGTTTTAGATGCTAAGGATAAAGCAGATGTCAATGATTCCTTCCCTGACCAAACTTCAGTCAGGATCCTATGGATCCTCTTCTCCTCTAGACCTTGTCTTTGGCCTGATGGGTCCAATTTCAGCAAAGAATTCTGCTAAGCCAATTCATCCAAGAATCCCAACCTCCCTTCCCCCCTCCCGCAACCCTTGATATTGTCAACTCAAATTGGCAGTTGCCCTGGGCACTGCCATCTACCTCTATAAGGATTAAATCATGTGCTGCTGCAGCTGCTGACCTTCAACTCACCATGAAAGGAGAACAAGAGTGTTGAATATTGTCTTTGCAGGTTTCAACAAATGTCAGAATAATTTTTAACATAGTGAACAAAATAAATAATGCTCCTCCCCTCAAAGACCCTACATTCAAATAGGGGTCAGGAAGAGAGAGATTAAACAAAAACAAAGGAAAAAGAGATGGGAGAAGGATTCCTCTTCAACATAGAGCTGTAAAAACTGCCCTCTTTGATTAGAGATCATTTGAGCTGAGTCTGAAGGAAGTGAGGTAACAAGGAATGTATCTGTGGGAAGTCTGTTCCAGGCAGAGAAAAAAGCAGATCCAAAGACACTGCAGAGAGTGTGCTTGGTTTATTTGAAAACAGCAAGGCTGGGATACTAAAAACATAAGAAAAAGTCAGAGGTTTGTGATGGCTAATTTTTTTGTGTCACTATGATTGAGCTGAGTGATACCCAGATAGTTTGTAAGTATTATTTCTGGGTCCACCTGTGAGGGTGTTTCCAGAGAGGTCAACATATGAATTGGTGAAGTGTGTAAAACAGATTGTTCTCCTCAATGTGAATGGGCAACATCCAACCTATTGAGGGCCTGAATACAATTTAAAAAATGGAGAAAGGGAGAATTTGGTCTCTCCCCTTGAGCTAAGACATCCATTTTCTCCTGCCCTCAGACCTCAGAGCTTCTAGTTGTCAGACCTTAAGATTCAGGAACTTAAACCAGCATACCATTCTTTCCTTCTCTTGCCTTTGGCCCCCAACTGGGAGTTACATCATTGGTTCCCATAGTTTTAGGTCTTCAGATACAGACCAGATCACACCACTGGCTTTCCTAGTTTTCCAGCTTGAAGGTGGCAGATCACTGAACTTCTTAGTCTCCATAACCATAGGAGTCAACTAATTAATTAATTACACACACTATTGGTTCTGTTTCTCTTAAGAACTCTGACTCCTCACTTGTTAACAGGATACAAGTTTTTGTGTGGATGTGTACTTTCATTGCTCTTTGTTAGCTATCTAGGAATGGAATCAAGGAGTGATATGGTAATTTTATATTTATCATTTTGAGGAAGTGCCAGGATTTTGAGAATCCTATGGACAAAGGAGTCCATGGGGTCAAAAAGAATTGGACATGCCTGAGTGACTAACACACACACACACACACACACACACAACAAATAAGGATCCCAATTTCTCCACATTCTGACAGCTTCTTACTCAGTTGAAATAAAAGCCTGTGTCTTTATAGTGGACTAAAAGGACCAACATTGTATTAGTCTGATTGATTCTGAAGCCCAGGAAAATAAAATTTGTCACTGCATCCACTTTTTCTGCTTCTATTTGCCATGAAGTGATGGGACTGGATGCCATGATCTTAGCTGATTGAATGTTGAGTTTCAAGCCAGCTTTTTCACTCTCTTCTTTCACCCTTATCAAAAGGCTCTTTATTTCCTCTTCACTTTCTGCCATTAGAATGAGAGTGGTATCATCTGCATACATGAGGTTGTTGATATTTCTCGTGGCAATCTTGATTTCAGCTTGTGATCCATCCAGCCTGGCATTTCACATGATGCACGCAGCACAGAACTTAAATAAGCATGGTGACAATATACAGCCTTAACATACTCCTTTCCCAATTTGGAACCAGTCTGTTGTTCCATATCCAATTCTAACTGTTGCTTCTTGCCCTGCATACAGGTTTCTCACAAGACATGTAAGGTGGTCTGGTTCTCCCATCTCTTTAAGAATTTTCCACAGTTTGCTGTGATCCACACAGTCAAAGGCTTTAGCTAGTCTGAAGCAGAAGTAGATGTTTTTCTGGAAATCCTCTGCTTTCTCCATGATTCAGTGAATGTTGGCAATTTGATCTCTGGGTTCTTCTGCCTCTTTGAAACCCAGGTTGTAACTGTGGAAGTTCTTGGTTCACTTATCGCTGAAGCCTAGCTTGAAGGATTTTGAGCATAACCTCACGAGCACGTGAAATAAGCGCAACTGTATGGTAATTTGGACATTCTAGAGAGGGTAAAAATGTAGCCTCAGTTCACTCATGTACAAAACTGTTAATAATCTCCGCTTGCCTACTTCCTAGGATTGTTATGAGAATGAACTGAGATAACAGAAATGAAAAGTTAGAGATCCAAGGAGAGAGACACCAGAGGGCAAGCACAATGGCAGACATACCTGGAGTAGGTGCAGAACATCCAAGGGCATGTCCCTAGTGACTGCTGCCACCTGGAGGCCAACAATGAGAATAGTACAGCTAACTTTTCCTGTCAAGCTTGTTGATAAGCGGGATTCCCAGGTGGTGCTAATAGTAAACAACCCGCCTGCCAATGCAAGAGACATAAAAGACACAGGTTCAATCCCTGGGTTGGGAAGATTCCCCTGGAGAAGGGCGTGACAATCCACTCCAGTATTCTTGCCTGGAGAATCCCCAGGGACAGAGGAGTTCGCTGGGTAACAGTTCATGGAATTGCAAAGAGTGAACTGAAGTGACTGAGCACGCATGTTGATAAGTACCTTACACTTTATTTTATGCGGTCCTCACCACAGCCAAAACGGCGAGTATTGTGAGCCTCATTTTAAAGAGGAAGAAATCAGGGCTTGGTGACTGTGAACTTGTTCATGATGGTGCAGTTTTCTGTTGGCAGAACCTGTATTTGAACCCAGACTGTTTCATCCACAGCCCCTCCCTTTAGCTGCTCTGGGTTGGCTCTTGAAATGAAGGTGTGAATTTTCACTAAATATGAAGAGAGGACAGAGAACAGGGTGAGCCAGAAGAGGCTGGTTAGGTCTCCTCCTGTTGAGGGGCTTTGGGCAGCTAGCCTCAGATCCTCTTTCTCTGTAGCAGGTGACTGAGTTGAAGGCAGGACTTAGCACATCTTTTGGGTTGGCTTACAGGAGGTCAATTACCTACTTAGTCTTTCCAGGAGTTCTGGGAAGCATACCGCTCCTCTAGAGTTGACAGATGAAATACAGGACACCCAGTAGCATTTGAATTTCGGAAAAACACTGCAGGGGACACATACTTTCCTAAAAATTGCTCATTGTTTACCTGAAATTCAAATTTACCTAGGCATAGTGTATTCTTATTTGCTAAATCTGGCAACCCAACCCTACTCATTCCATATAGATCTTTTCTAAAAAACATCTCTCTTATCCTAATACAACACCTAAAAAGCCACAGTTTTTTGGTTTTAAGATTTCTAGATATTTTGGGACACCCTATGATACGTTTAACCTTGGACTGAGGGGGACACCCTTTAAGTTGTTACCTACTTATTAGTGTAATTAGTTGGCTGTGCCCAACATCTTTCAAAAAGTGGACAGGTGGAGTATGAATAAAGGCGAGAAATGAAGCAATAGCACAGTCAGGGAGAAGAGGCTGATGGGGGAGGAGAGAGGATTCATAAAGCTGAAAACCACTGAAACTCTCATCCCCACTGCTGGTGGAGCCCTGTGGAGAGCCAGCCTTTCACGTGACTAGGTACGCTGAATATACTCACTGAGTGCGTTTCAATGAGTAAATGCGGGAGTGATGCTGAGCTCCTTCTCGTAGCCTGTACACTATAACAATGGGCTTCGACAGCCCGAAGGCCATCTTCCCTGGACTCCTCGCAGGACAGCACCAAGACCCTTCATTACTGGGCAAGATTAACTTCTCCCCTGCTGCCCCTGCTGCTTGCCTGGGTGCCCTTGAACAAGTCTCTTCTGTTCTTTGGGCTTCAGTTTTCAGTCTGAAAGATGTCTAGATGAGACCCTCCTTATCACCCTCCCCATTTCCATGGCTCTTGAGGACATCCTGACAACAGTTTGGGTACTAGAGCTGGAGACATTCTTTGAACTCACAAAGATCTGGAAGGAGAGAGCTCTGTGTGGCCTTGCTCCAGTCAGGGCCAGCCTGCTGGGGACAGGGCTCATATCTACATAGGAAACCTGGACTCCCTTTTCCAGTTCCAATTGTGGTTTCTCCAGCTTTCCAGGCAGACCAGCATGGCCAGACTTGCATCTGCCACCACCCACCTTCATCTGGTGCTTTTCTGTGCTGGAGTGATCCCCCCAGCAGGTTGGACTGGAGGCAGGGCCCAAGGGGTCTAACATAAACTCCTTTCTTCATCTCTCACCTGGCCTGTTCCAATTGTGATACCCTGAAAAGATGAGGTGATAGTCATGTTATAGTGAAAGTGACCCCAGTTCAATACTCAATATGCTGAGTTTGGTCCCTGGCTTTGGCCATTTGCCAGAAGCAGAATCTTGGGCAAGTCACTGCCTCTCTTTCTCTCATCCTCTGTGACTTCATCTTAAGAAGAGTGAGGAAGAACCCTTACTCCACAGTGCTGCTCAAAGGCAAGGATGAACACTGATGAGCTCAGACTAGGTCACCCAGAAGGAAATGGATGTGTCTCCACCTTTCTTTCTGTGTATCACCCAAGGGCTCCCCAGATAAGACCTAAAGCCTCAGGTGCTCCCTAAATAGTGCTTCTCCGGATCCCAAGACCTTAACATGCAGAAGATGTAGGCCACAAATGAAGAACTCCCAAATTTCTGTAGAATGAAAACTGTATTTAATATAGATGAGAGAGGAGAATGCCTTCATGTGTTAAAAAAAGGGATAAGATTCAGGATAGAAACAGAGGGTTTTCTTAAACAGAAATGGGGGCTGTTCATTCAGAATGGAAAGTAGAGTATACAGGCTCCAATGGAGAGAAGTGGGTAAATGCACTTGTGTGAGGGTATAAAATTCTCTTTTCCCATAGAAAGCAAAAGTCATCACTTGTGAGTGAGATGGAAGAAGCAGTTGTTGGAGGTGTGAAGAAAGAGGAAAAACTGTGAGATCGTCAGTGAGGAGGATGGATGGACTGAAAAAATGTAATAGGATAGTTTGACAGCATTAAAGGCCCCCTTGACTTTAGCACTCATAAACTGAAAGCAAGAATCATCAGAGTCTTGCATTTTTCTGAGGCCACGTCTGCTACACAGGTACAAGTATGGAACAGGCAGGGAGCTGGATTCAAGTAGATCTGGTGTTTTATCAGGAGAATAAAACCAGGTAAGATGGGGCAAAAGACTGATCATAATGATGAGCCATTATCTTTAAACTGGGTTAGGAGGGAAGTGAGAACATGAAGGCATGAGCATCAGAGCAAGAGTGATAGAATCAATGAATCAGCAAGCAGTGAGTCCTGGGGAGATAGTTTGTGTTCCTCAGACAAAAGGTAGGAGAGTATCCCTGAGGAGGAGCCTCTCCAAATGTCATGGGCCTCCCAAAAGTGTCTCCATGTCCTAATCCCCAGAAACTATTGTTACCTTATAGACAAAAGGAACTTTGCAAATGTGATTAAAGGTTGTAAAGTGGAGAGATTTATCTTGAATTGACCAGGTGGGCCTAATATAAATCACATCAGTCCTCAAAAGAGAAACACAGGAACAATTAGCACCAAAGATAATATGTTGACAGAAGCAGAGACTGGAGTCATGTGCTTTGAAGATGGAGAAAGAGGCCACAAGCCAAGGAATATAGGCCACAACATATCTTGAAAGAGGCAAGGAAACAGATCCTCCTCTGGAGCCTCCAGGAGCCAACATGCCCACATCTTGACTTTAGCTCAGTGAAATTGATTTCAGACGTCTGACCTCCAGAACCGTTAGAGAATAAACTTGTGTTTGTCATACATCACTGTGTGGTAACTTATTACACTAGCAATCGGAAGCTAATACACCAAGAAGGGGAAAGGTATAGAGGAGAGGTCTAGGAAACAGCTCTTTCACCCCCAGGATAAATCTGAAGAGAAAGTATTCTGGAGAGACTGAGAGGTCCTGTGTCACTCAGTGAGGAGTGAAAATAATGGAGAGAATTATGGCGCCATTCCTTTGAAGGCATTAACTAAAAGGGTCTCAGGAAGCAAGGTTTCCATGTAAATCAATGATACTGCCATGTACTACCATACACGGTATGACCTCATTTTTGTTTAAAAAGTGTATCTGTTTGTACAGTCATGTCTGTGTACATTTAGGAAAGAGTTCGAACCCCTGAGTATTGCATGACTGACTGATTCCCTCCTCTCCTCAGTCTTTGTTCCAGCATGTCCCAATCCACACACACCCAACACCTTCAATCCCCCGACTCAACTCTTTTTCCGTAACACATATAACTTTTATAACACACTACACCTTTTATCAAAATCGTATACTGCTCTAGTGGAAGATCTCACTAGAATTTAACATCCACGTGACTTTTTTTTTTTTTTTTTTTTTTTTGCGTAAGCGTCTTGGACAGTTCCTGGAATATAGCAGGACCTCAGATGTTTGCTAAATGAACGAACTTCAGAGGTGAGAAGGGGATACTCATCTCAGAACGTTTTTAAAAAGAAACAGAAATTACGGGTGATATTTCCGTTCTTTTCCCCCAGTAGCACTTTAACAAAATGAAAAGCATGTTAATGGGTATTCCTAAAATAAATACAAGAAAGAAATAAAGAAAATACCACACATGAGGATAACTTGAAGGAACTGGTTGCGAATTTCAAAGAACACTTCGCAGGGAACTGGACCGTACTCTGTAGCGCAGCTTCTGGCAAAGCCCGGGGAATGGCGCCGGAAGTGGGCGTGGCCCTCCCGCGGCTTTCTGGTACTCGTAGTTCGGGGCCCTAGGCGCTGGCGCAGGTCAGTATCACGAATCCTGCGCTTCCAGGTATTGGATTCCACGTGAGAGGTGAGAAAGGCCTGGCAAGCAACGCAGCCTGCGCAGCCGGCTGAGAGGCGTCTGGCGTTTGAGTTGTGGGAGTGTCGCCGGGGGAGGCGCTGGGCTGCGGGGGCCCGGAAGCCTGGCGGGTGGCCGGGGGAGGGCGCGCGTCCTGGCGGAGGTGCGATCGAGGGCCGCACGTGTGTCCGCGCGCCGCGGCCGGCGCTGCGTTCACCAGACCTAGCGGTGATCAACTGAGACCAGGCGGACCCAAGCGCTGAGCCGGCAGTGGCTCCGAGGCGTCCTCTCTACTGCCTGAACTCCGGCCTTGGCCGGCCTGGGAGCTTCGCAGTTGGCCACACCGGCCTTTTACACGCCGATGACTGCCCTTATTCGAAGGAGGTTTTCGGTGGACGTTAGGGGATCTAGAGGGGCTTCTGGGAGGGACCATCCCGCCCGGCCCCACAGTCCTGTCGTCGCTGAAAAGAGATTGCGTCAGAGCCCCTGCCTCCCAGATAGAGTCTGACTTTTCAGGCGTCTGGGGCAGCAGAAATATCTCCGAGAGGCGACACATTCATCCGGAGAGCTACTGCTCTAACTAGAACTTTAGGGCAAATGCTGGGGAAATGGGCACATCTTAGAGCTGCTGGGGGCAGTGGGATTTTCTTGCTTTCATGGGTTTGCGAGGGAGGCTTGGCCTATTTGATCCAAAGCCCTGTGGAGAGAGGTGAGGGAGGCGCCGCGTGAAAAGACAGCAGAAGCATCCCAGGAGAGGGTGTGTAAAGGTAACAGGACCTGATAACATTTTTCCCCCAACAGTCTTGCTGGACTGGCTAGTCTGTGTCCAGCAAAGTCAACCTGATTTTCACGGCTTTTTCGCTTCCCTTAACTCCACTTTTCCAGGAATCTGTCCTTCCTGAAAGAAGAAAATGACCAAGTTCCAGGTGAGTTGGAGTTTCTCTTCTCTGAGAATGGGAATATCCTATCTTTTGGGGGAAGGACATCAGCATTAACTGACTGTGTATCTGGTGTCAGGTCCTGTCTTGGTTCTGTGTGTTTTTTTTTACCTTGTCAGACTTCAGCGTGAGACATATAGTGTTTATAAATGTGAGTATAGGAACATTCAGATACTAAGAGCATATAGCTATCAAATGATGTCACCAGGGTCTGCACAATCTGTTGACTTTAAATTCTACCCCTGTTTTCACTGAACTACCCTGCCTCCTTGAGTTTGACTCACTCCTCAGAGGACTGGGCTATGCTCCTTTATTGAAAGACTTCACACAGCATGTTTGGTCCAATCTCTGGAAGAATGCCTTTTCCTGCCAGACATTTCACTCACACTGAAAGTCATCCAAAGCTATTACATGCTCAATCCAGTGCTAAGTGGTCTCAGGAAAGCAACAGAATTATAAACTGCAGTGCTTTTCTTCATGAGCATGTGATGCGTGTGGGAAAAAGTATGCACATTAACAATAATAATTTATTAAACTTGAGATAAAGACATGAGAAAATTTGTTACATAACAGTTCAGTAATTACCATGTCACTCCCAGAAATCCTCCTCAGCCAGTCTGTGCATCAGAATTATCTGTGGTGTTCTTTAAGAATTAAATGTTCCTAAGCAACATTCCCCTCGACCTACTGAAAGGGGAAGTTCACTCCTTTTTTATCTCTTTGATGTTTACAGTCCAAAGATTTATTGCATTTAATGCGAAGTATTTCTCTGGATACTTGATGTGAGCATCACTAAAGCAGATAGGATAGGTTGCTCATCTTTTGTGTTCTGCTTATTTTGTTCCCTTTATCAACATATCTACATTTTAATTGGTACATTGAATTGTTGAATTACCATGTAAGCTTTTTTAAAAAGCTTGTCATTTGTCTGCACAAAACCACTTCTAGAAAGCTACCTCAAGACTAACACTTAGTATCATAGAATGTTTGAAAAGAAAGGGATTAGCCAGCCGCCAGGGATGCCCCTCTTAAATCTCTGCCTTGGTGCCATCATCTTACAGAGGAGAGCTCTAATTCTGAGGGAGCAGAAGGGAAGTACCATGTGTTTATTGCAGAGAACAGCAAAGTCAGAAGTCAACCCCATGTTTTCTAACTTTATGCTGTTTCTTCTCTAACTAAACAGGTCATCACACCAGGATTTATTTGAATAAAATATCAGGCTGGGGTTTTTTTTATATTAGATGATTTTTTAAAAATTGAAGTATAGTTGATTTACAGTGTTTCAGGCGTATAGGCTGGATTTTAAGGGGGGGAAGAAAATGAACTAATTCTTAACAGTGCCACCAGCAAGACCATCTTTTTGGTTGGCAAAAACCATCCTCACATCCACATCCATAGAAAGATACCATGAGTTCTTATAAAAATCAGTTTGTTTAGAGGACAGTAAGCTGCCTCAAAGTATTGAAAGCGTGACATCTTTGTGCCTTGAATATGATTGAGAACTTCAGCAAAGATTGACATAAGAAAGAACCTGTGCTCTTTTTTTTTTCCTTCTATCTCTTCCCTAATGATTATGCACTGTGATGAAGTTGGGGATTGCTAGAACAGTGACATTTTGAGATCCTGGCATATGTTAATAATTTTTTGAATTTAAAAAAAGGACTTCATTCCATCAGTACTTACTGTTTTCTGTATACCAGACCTTGTCCTTGAGTCTGCTGAAAGGTAGGAGTCCCACTTAACCCTTCTCTTCCTCTGTGACTTTGAGTGGATCACTTTGCGGTTATGAACCTTAGTTTTCTCATCTATAAATTGAGTGCCGAGTTGGAGGATCTCGAGATTTCTCTTTTACTTGTATCATTTCATTATTTTAAATTGTGAATTTATAAATAAATATTTGTCATTTAGATTTGGAGTCAGGTGTGCTGTTTGCTGAGGATTTAAAGATTAGTTGAGTGTGGTCACAGAAGCCAGGTGAAATGTAAGGGGGGAAGGACTCAGGCTGAGCTTGAAGAATTGACAGGACCCCAGTCTGTAAAGCCTTGCAGGCCAGAATGAAGAGTCTGGATTTTACTCCATGTGCATGGAAAAGCCTTTGGAGAGTTTCATGCTTGGCATGGTACGTGTTTTAAAAGATCACCCTCTCTGCTCTGTGGAAGATTCATCATGTGGGGGAACAAAAAAGACAAATTTAGGAGGTTGGTGTAGGTGGAAAGTTAATGACAGCTGGGACTTGTAATGATAATAGTGCAAGCTGGAAAGAAGTGGGTGGCTTCAGATATGTTTTAAAGGCAGAGTTGAGATGACTTGGTGATGAATAAAATGTGAGGAAGTGAGAAGAAAATCAAAAGGACTTCTGGGATTTGGGCTTGAGCAATTTAGTAGGTTGTGTGGCACTTGGGGGACAACAAGGGAAGAGCAGATACTGATGGAGATTGTGGGAGCAAGAATTCTGTTGGGGTGACTTACCTGGTGGTCCAGTGGTTAGGTCCAGTGGTTAAGACTCCGAACTGCAGAAGCAGGGGGCATGGGTTTGATCCCATGTCAGGGAACTAAGATACCTACATGCTATGCAGCACAGCCAAAAGATTTAAAAAAAAAAATTCTATTGGGGCTTGATATGTTTTAAGTGCCTTTTAGACATCCAAGTGTAGATGTAGGTGGGAAGTTGGAGCCTGGAATTGAGAAGTAAGGTTAGGACTAGAGATAAATGTTTGGGAATACCTAAGAGTGTTTTATGGTTGTGGGTAAATGTGCTATTTTATTTTTTCTAGGAATGTTCAACTTCTTAGTTTAGAACAAGAAAGGACATATGATTTATATGATTAGGGGAAAAATTGATATCAGAAGTATACTTTGGCTGAGAGGAAAAAGAGGAAGGATTAAAGGATGATGATCTTGGTAAAACAGATGTGAGGGAGGAAAAAGAGAAGAAAAAATAGGAAGATGTTTTTAAGGTGTGAGTTTTGAGGTAATCTTTCAAAAACAGAGTGATCCAAGTAGTGAAATGGCCCTAATTGTGGTTCCTGAGTTTGAAATGAGGCAAAGATCGTTGGCATTAAAGAGATTAAGAAATGTGAGGTTAGCATGTTGGGTAAATCGTTCTCCTGAGTGTTAAGGTTATCAGGATAATAGTAGGAATGGGGCAAAAGGACAGCTCAGCAAGGAAATGAGAAAGGAAAGGTTCTCCATCCAAACTAGACTAAGATCAGCCTGAACCGCACACTTCCTCTGTATCCTTCTCCCCTCTTCCAGTGCTCCCAACCTCACCTTCCTTATGGGGCATTTGTTCAGATGGTTGTCAGTTGAGGAGGAATGTGCTTAATGTTTTAGGAACCAGTAGCATTCACGGATGCCTCTGTGGCCTTCACCAAGAAAGACTGGGGCTGCTGGACTCTGTTCAGAGGAAGCTGCACGGAGCTGTGATGCTGGAGAACTCCCGCCCCTTGGTCTCAGTGGTGAGAACATGCATGTGAACACCAGTGCCCTGGAGTCTGCTTCTTCAGTTTTAAATATCCATGGGGCCCCAGGAACTATAGTTGAGGAATCGCTTTCTTAATTTCTTTTTTGGCAGCAAAGGATGTTTTTGATTATTCTGAGCAGCTAAAGAACTTTTTGTGTGTATGCTCAGTCATGTCCAGCTTTTTGTGACCCCATGGACTGTAGCTCACCAGGCTCCTCTGTCCGTGGAATTTTCCAGGCAAGAATACTGGAGTGGGTTGCCATTTCCTGCCCCAGGGGTCGAACCCATGTCTCTGTCATCTGCCTTGGCAGGTGAGTTCTTCACCACTGCGCCACCTGGAAAGTCCGAAAGAACTTTATTTGGTGAGAACTGGAAAATGGTAGCCTTACTTGGAGAATTGTCCAAGAAATCGTACGTGGTCCATCCTTTATAAGCCAGAGTTTGAGACTGCTTTTTTGTTTGTTTTTTTGCATAGTCACCCACACCTGTGTGTCTCAGATGTGCTCTCTCAGTTGGAGCAAGTTGAGGATTATAGTATAATGGAGAATTCTCCATGCCCATTACCTTTAATTGCCGGTGTAGAGCCTCTAAACTCCCCCCTCGCTTTCGGAGCCTTTCGAGCTCTACTTCTACTACAGAGCATTATTCTCTGCTGCCCCAGGGTCACCCTCCTTTCCAACTAAACCTGTTTTCCTGAGGTCCTCCATGCTTCCTTGCTCTGGGGCCCTTGATTACCATGCTCTGGTTTCTTGTTAATTTTGTCTGTTAAGATTTTATTTGAGGTACTTTACCTGTGTGAGATCTTCGACCACCCCTCCCATTCAATCTCCTTCCCTTTTCCTCTTTTTTTTTAATCTTATCTATCTTTGGCTGTGCTGGCTCTTCATTGCTGTGTGCCAGCTTTTCTCTAGTTGCAGAGAGCGGGAACTACTCTTCATTGCGGTGAGTAGGCTTCTCATTGCCGTGGCTTCTCTTGTTGTGGCGCACAGGCCCAAGAGCACATGGGCTTCAGTAGTTGTGGTGCATGGCTTAATTGCTCCGTGGCATGTGGAATCTTCCTGGACCAGGGATCAAACCCGTATCACCTGCATTGGCAGGCAGATTCATATCCACTGTGCCAAACAGGGAAGTCCTCAATCTCCTTTTCTCAGAACTTTCAGTTTATGTCTCATAGGCTCAGACCTGATTACATATTTTTTTGTATACTTTTATTTTAACCCTTAGATCTGCAAGTCTGATTTATTTTCTTTGGTTCCAGCCAGGTTTCTGGAGGGAAAGCAATGTATCTAATACTCCACTGCTTTATGTACATGTGTGTGTGTGAGTTGCTCAGTCGTGATCGATGCTTTGCAACCCCATGCACTATAGCTCTCCAGGCTCTTCTGCCCATGGAATTCTCCAGGCAGGAATACTGGAGAGGGTTGCCGTTCCCTTCTCCAGAGGATCTTCCCAACCCAGGGATTGAACCCAGGTCTTCCACATTGCGGGCAGATTCTTTACAGTCTGAGCCACCAGGGAATCAGGATTTAAAAATTGACTGCTGTGGAGTTTAGCAGCAAAGAAATATAGTCTTGTAAAAGAGACATTATAGTCAACACAGTGTGTTACTGTGAATTCATTAAGTTCCTGTGAAAGATGGAGAATTGTGTTCTGAGAAAATGAGGGCATGATATGGGATGAGAGTGATAAATGTATTGTTGAGAGGTTCAAGGAAAGCCTCTGAAGTGATATTTAAACTGAGACCTAAAGCGTTAATGGGTATCAAACAGGTGACTGGGTAGGGGAAGAATATTCCAGGCAAGAGAATAGTTCACGAGAAGACCCGGACACCTTAAAGGAGTGTGGCTAGAATACAGGAAGCATCTGGGAAGAATAGAGTGGGGGTTGACTCATTCGTGGCATTGAGGGCATTGGTAAAAAAATGTGAATTTGTGTTGAGTTCAGTGGGAAGCCATTGGGACAATAAAATGGTATGAACTGATTTACCCAGTATCACTGGGACTGCTTGATAGAGACTGGTTTGCAGAGAGGCAAAAGTGAAGGTAAGATCTATATTTAGAATTCTGATCACTCGCTGTCACAAGCCGTCTGCAGTGAATAAATCTTGTGCAAGTAGCACTCACAACTGTGCCAAGAAATCTGAAGAATAAAACCCCTGAGATGGACTGCTGAGTACATACATTTGTGATTTTGACACATAATTGTTAAAATGTCCTTCTTGAGGGGTGATACCAATTTACATTCACAAGCAACATGTGTCAGCGGGCTTTGGGTTTTTAACCAGTGTTAACAGGTAGTTTTAATTTTAATTTATTACATTATGATATACTGCTATTTTTTCAGTTTATTAATATTTGATATTTTGTATTGACTTCATTATTTCCAACATGCCCATCATCCCAAGAGTTTACGTCAGAGTTACTTCAGTGATTAATACTTACATTGCTTTGACTTCATAACTCTTGTTCCTGCAGAGTCAAATAGTATACATATACAGTTCCTTTTTTTGTTTTTTCCTTTTCCTACAACTAATTTTTGCTTTTCAAAATATATTTGAGGTTTTTCCCTTTCCATTCCGTTTCTAGAGCATTTTGGTTGATTTGGTTAATTACTGTTTCCTTTTATATATCAACACTTCATTCATCTTGTCTGTTTTATTGATTTCTTAATGCTCACTGCTATTTCTTGTATGTCATCTTTTTCTTAATTTAAAAATTTTTACTACAGTACACTGCTGAATAATTGTTTCAGTAATTTTTTAAATCCTTTCTTACCTGAAAAAGTGTCTAGCTAGTCTACTGATTGACTTGGGTATGAGATAGAAGGCTAATTTTACAGTCAGTTTACTTCCTAAATTAGAAGATATTGCTCATTTATCTTCAGTATACAATACTGCTGTTCCGTAGTTCACTGTCAATATAATTCTCATTTGTATTTGCACGTAACCTGGCTTTTCTGTCTAGATGGTTTTAGCATTTTCTGGGGTTGTATTTTTTGAGTTTTTTTGTTTTTTTGAAGTCCTGAGGTTTCACAGACAATTCTTTATTTTCCACAGACAATTTTTAACATTTAGTGAGCCCTGACTCGTAAATTCTAAGAAAACTTTTTTCCCTGTTGATTCTTTGATCATTTCTCTTCATTCTACCTCCACTATATTTATCGAACTCCCACAACATAGGCTTTTATCATTCCATCTGTCTACCTTTACTTTGCATTCCTTGAGTACCCCTCAGTCTTCATTTTAGGTGGATATTCATTTAGCTATTCAGCCCATCTACATTGCAGACCTTAAAATCAGACTGCCTGACAGTAGCTATGACACATATTACTTGATCATTTTAACCTTGGTTCTTCCAGTGTAGGATGAGTGTCCTAATAGTTTTTCTCACATAGAATCATACATCTGCTGTCTGAGTGCTCCAGATGAGGACAGTAAATCTTAAATGTTGGATGGCATCACCAACTCAATGGACATGAGTTTAAGCAAACTCTGGGGGATAGTGAAGGACAGGGAAACCTGGCATGCTGCAGTCCATGGGTTGTAAGGAGACAAACACAACTCGGTGTCTGAACAACAAGTCTCAAATATTATGATTGCATTGTTTTCAATCTTTTTATTAATGTAGAAAAATTCTAATTATTCTTTATAGCAGTGTGTTTATATTTTATTATTAGGTCATAGTTTTTTTAGATGTGATAGCCCCTCAGATTTCTCTGGGATTTTCATTATGAACCTTTTCAATTCTGTTACCTCTGTTTACTGTTTCATGAGTTTGCGCCTCTCTTTATTGATGTTAGTTTCTACTTTTTTTGTTTGTTTCCTTATGTTTATTGTCTCTCTCTCTCTTTTTTTCCAAAAGTCTTCTGTTCGCAGCATGATACTGGAGTGTGCCACCCTCAGCTGACGCTCCGTCCTTTTTTGATGCATGTGTATTCAGCTTACAGGGGACATCTCTGCTGACTGGGCTTGGGATGAATCTAATAAGAACCCAGATGGTGAGTGATGTAGACCCTTTTTTTGAAATTGCCTCTTAAGGGCAGTATGTTATCTGGGACATGCCCTGCTTCAGTTTCCAGCTCTGGGATGTCCTTCTGGTCAGAAATTCCACCTCACAGATTAGCTTGAGGCTTTATCCTGGGCACATGTGGAGTTGGTTGCTTCTTTTTGTACCTCAGTCCTGTCATTGTACAGGTTTGGCATTACCTCAACTTATGCTGCTGTCTTCAGCCCAAATCATACTATTAGGAGTCCTTCTTTGCAAACAATTTGTTTTTGAAGCTTTATATGGGGCCACTACCCTTAACCTCCTAGTTTTTCATTTTTTTGTGGGGAAGAGGGTAGTTGGGACAGTGACACTGCTAATGGCAACAACTAGTCAAGACATTAGAAATGCCCAACGTGATATAATAAACCTATTTCCAGAATAAACCTCTCTTACTTCAGAATAGTTGATTCTGAGCTTGGAATTTTAGTTTCTTGGACTTCTTCAGATGTTCTCCTGCTTCTTCAGGAGCCTTTTTCTGTATGTAATTTGAGCTGTGCATTTGTTTTTTGTTTGTTTGTGTGTTTCCCCATTAGACCTCATCCATCTGCACTTTATCACAAGGAGTTCCCTAGTAATTTTATTCTAGTAATGGCAGTCTTTCTTTTTTTTCCAAGATCATTGTGGATTTTTTTATTTTGGTCATTTCAGTGTAATATAAGGATCTTTACCCTAATTGTTTTGACTAACATACATACTACAAATCTTCCTTAACTTATTGTTGGGTTTTATCCCCATAAACTGATTGTAAATTGAAAAATACTTTTAATTCAAAAATGCCTTTAATACACCTAATCTACTGAACAGCATAACTTTGCCTAACCTGCCTTAATTATGCTCAGAACACTTCCACTGGCCTACAGTTGGGCAACATCATCTAACACAAAGCCTGTTTTATAATAGTGTTGACTATCTCATGCAGTTCATTGAATACTGTACTGAAAGTGAAAGACAGAATGGTTGTAAACATACTGTGTGGAGCTGCAGCTGCTCCATTGCCCAGCATCACGAGGGAGGTTTGTCCAGCATATTGCTAGCCCAGGAAAAGACCAAAATTCAAAGGCATATCACTGTCACACCACCATAAAGTCGAAAATTTGTAAGTGAAGCTATCGTAAGTCAGGGACCATCTATAGTAAGTCTAAATATTCCTAGCACAGTTCTTTCTCAGGAGCTCCAGGTCCACATATTTTACTTACTGATCAGAATATTCCACCAGGACCACAAATTTAAAAAGTCAGATCCCGAGTTTGCTTTCTGTTCCCCTTCCCTACTCTAGCCTTGGAGATTAAGATCCCCTATCTTATGATATTGTAACACATACCTAATCACTAATTCAAGGGACTTGAGAGTCATGCTTGGGGCCTTCTTTCCCTTTTGAGTTTAGTCAGTCATCATGTGATTTAGAACAAATCTCTCCCTTTCTCTCCATAACCATCCTCCTCATCACTCTTCTGATTTGCTACAGCAGCTCTCTCTCTGCCTTAAAGTCTTGCTCATTTATGATGGTATTTATAATCACAGAGTCAGTCATTTCACTCACAACTGTAATCCTTAGTAGCTTTACATCTCTGAGGGGATCTCCAACTGCACACTGAGCCCTTTGTTCTGGCTCTTGTCTTCGTCTCCAGGCATAGTCTACCACTGTTACCTGTTTTATTTCCTTCACAAGAAACTACTTATACTTTTCCAGAACATGTCATATTTTCTCACCACATCCCACTTTTTTTCCCTTTACATTTGCTCCCAGAAATCTTCCCCAAGGTTTGCATCAACTGCCCCTCCCTTTGTGTTCCCATGGCTAGCTGTGCATGTGTCTATACAGTAGCACTTACATGGCATTATTGTTGACCTATTTGGCTTTCTTCCCAGGAGATTCTAGCTTATCAAGCAAAAGGATTTGTATTTTCTTCCTTGTATCCCAAGCACTTATTAAAGTCAGGTACTTCATTTTATTTTAATTGACATTTAATTGGTAAAATGGAATGAAATGTTAATTGTGGAATAACAAGGATGTGGGATTCATAACCTTCTACAAGGCTAGTGTACAAATACTTTTATTGGCAGTACTTAAAAGCAGAGACAAGATTTCTGTCTTATGTACCCAAGCCCTCTCCCTTCCTGACATTAACCCAAAGGACATGAGTATAAGGACAAGATTGAACTTTTTGCTAGTTACCTTAGGCAGCTCTGAAATCTTGAAGTTTCATTTGTTATCACTAAATTCCCTTTGTTCCCTAGGAGACTTGAATGAAAATTTTGTGGATAATGAAGATAAAGTACTTACATTATCTATTACCTCAAGAGCTTTCCTGCTGGCAAATTTTGGAAGAGGTGGCTTAGTACAGTAATGAGGAGTCAGAATTAAATTGTGAATATTCAAAGGGGAGGTGTAAGTAACCCTCAACTGGATCTTTCTACTTGTCAGAGTGGAGAAAAGTATCTTCTCATATTTCCAGGAACCCACAAGCAGGGTGGTGACTCTTCAGAGTGATGATTTTAAAAAAACATGGAGAGTGAAGAATATTCATCTTTGAAAGTCCCAATCCAAATGGCCACCCAGTACCCCTCATTCTGTAAGAATGAGCCCCAGGATCCTCAGGAAAGCAAAAGTCTGTTTGTAACTGAAGAAAGCACTGAGAGGAAAGTGACAGAGGGAAAAAGTCCTCCCATTGAGCACTGTTCAGAGAACCTTCAAGATAAACTTGTGGCTGATGTAAAAGAAGTGGTCTTGCCATTGTTCAAAGGGGAGACAATTTGCCATATTGGCCAGTTGAAAGAATCCTTGGAGCCCTTTGACTATAACCACAGAGACGTTTGCGGTTGGAAATCCCGGGTGGCCAGTCATCGTCATCAGAGAGCTCATACAGAGGAGAAGCCCTGTAGCCATCAAGACTGTGGGAAAACACGTACCGCCAGCCCAGGTGGTCACCCTGGTGAGAAAATCCGCCCTTCAGAGAAGGTGTACAGATGTAGTCAGTGTGGTAGGGACTTCAGTGAGCGTTCAGAGCTAGTCCTTCATCAGAGGGACCACACTGAAGAAAAGCCCTACAGATGTGATCAGTGCGGGAAGGGCTTCACAAGGAGCTCGAGTCTCCTCATCCACCGTGAAGTCCACGCAGATGAGAAGCCTTACAAGTGCGATAAGTGTGGGAAGGGCTTCACCAGGAGTTCAAGTCTGCTCATTCATCACTCAGTCCACACAGGTGAGAAGCCTTATAAATGTGACAAGTGCGGGAAGGGCTTTACTCAGAGCTCCAAACTGCACATCCACCAGCGAGTGCACACCGGCGAGAAGCCCTACGAGTGTGGGGAGTGCGGTATGAGCTTCAGTCAGCGCTCCAACCTGCACATCCACCAGCGCATCCACACAGGGGAGAGGCCCTACAAGTGTGGGGAGTGCGGAAAGGGCTTCAGTCAGAGCTCAAACCTTCACATCCACCGCTGTTCACACACGGGGGAGAAGCCTTACCAGTGCTACGAGTGCGGGAAGGGCTTCAGCCAGAGCTCAGACCTCCGCATCCACCTGCGAGTCCACACTGGGGAGAAGCCCTATCACTGCGGCAAATGTGGGAAGGGCTTCAGCCAGAGCTCCAAACTCCTCATCCACCAGAGAGTCCACACCGGAGAGAAGCCCTACGAGTGCAACAAATGTGGGAAGGGCTTCAGCCAGAGCTCCAACCTCCATATCCACCAGCGGGTCCACAGGAAAGATCCCCATTAAATGAGGTCTTCAATCATATGCTCTTACTCCAAAGACTCCAATATTTCTAACATCACTCTTACTTTCACATTCTCAGGATATAGTAAGAGTTATTCAGATATGTTCCCTCACTGAAAGTCATTCACTTAAGGTATTTAAGTACCAAGCACTTTGTTATGCTACACAGTGAATTGATTGTTCTTGTTGCTCAGATGGGTAGAGTGAAAATGTCTGTACTTTGCCATTCAGCCAGTGTTACTAGAGCTACATATCCTACCCAGCATTTCTAAGTGCAAGAAACTTATATTTGTCTAAGCAGAACGTGTTTCCTTTGTTAACACTCTCTGAGAATCTGGAACTTTGGCTTTCTCTTCAAATCGTGTGCCTTGTGTTTTTCATATTTCCTTCCAGCCCTGAGTAGCCCTCTTTAAATTATGATTGCACAGTATGTTTTAATATTTGCTATAACCCCCAAAAGTCATTTGCTTTTGCAGCATTGTTACTGAGCCAGACTTGGGTCTTCTTGGCCAAGCAGAGTAAAGCCAATCTACTGACACTGGCTTGTAAAGAAAGTGCACCATTTATTGCAGGGCACCAAAGGAGTCCAAGCAGCTAGTGCTCTTCAGACCCAAACTGATGGCTTTCAGGGAAACATAAGGTGAGGAACAGGGGACTCTGGGGTGCATGATCAGCTCATGGACATTCTTCTCATTGGCTGATGGTGAGGCAATTAGGAGTCAACATCATCAACCTTCTGTTTCTAACCCATCTGGGGTCTGCTTGCAAACAGTTAACCTCTTGCATCTGGTGGCAGTTTCAGTATCTGCAAAACAACTCAAAGGACATGGCTCAGAATATTATCTGTATTCTGGAGGAATTACAGGTCCTTGCTTCACTTAATAGCTAAACTATTATTGTTTTGTTTTGCTTAACATTTTCCCTTTCTGTCTGCATTTTCTCTCTTCTCTGATTAAATTTACACTTTGGAACTTGGGGAAGGCTTGGAGAGTATGTTTTGAGATGACAAGGCTTAAAATATGTACTCTATTACACATAATTCAATTGGGGTATGGAGCTAGGACACCTCAGAGGGTTAAGGATCATCTCCTAGAAGTTAAAACAAGAAGCTTGTAAAATTGTTGAGAGAAAATTGATTGTTTTTTAGTGAATACATAAGTAAAGCAGAAGTTACTATACAATGAACTAATTGCAACCCTGATTTTCTAAACAATGACTGATTCCCCAAGTGGTACTTAAGAGGCTCCCTAGTCACCTATATTTTAGTTAGTCACCAGTGACTAGTATCCATACATGAAAAAATGGTGGGGAAAATATAGATGCAATATTTATTACCTTGAGGAGGTGGGGTTATAACTGGTACATCCTGATCAAAGGTAACCTGAAGCAGTTAACTGGACTTGGATAACAGGAAAGTGACATGTTAAATTTAGAGGAAGTGTAGCTAATGTCTAATAAGAAATGGAGGAAGGTGACAGATTGAGACTTGCTTTCCTTCAAGAGACAATCCCAGAATATTTGACTCCAACTCAGAGGCACCCACATAAAATGATTAGGGTAGTGACTGAGCATCTGCACTTCGGCACTGCAACATACCCTCACTAGTTTGGAAACCATAAGATGGTATCACAACTGATGTGATTCTGCTTTGGTGATCTCTAGAATTACGAATCCCTCCAAGTTCCTCCTGGTCTCATAAGATTATATGTGAACTTTCTTCTGGATTTGACTCTTTGTTTGTCACATATGTCTTCTAATTGGCTGATAGATATAATCTGTTTGGGACTTAGAGCCAAATATGATCATAAGAATCCATGTGTAGTGAGTCCAGAGAGTAGATCTAAAGTCCAAGTCTCATATGGTTATAAACTAGCCTGTTTTCCAAGTCTCCTTTTATACATACCTTAATTTAGCAATGTTTTTTAACTCTGTTTAGCTTTTATTGTTATCTTTTAAGCATTAACTTTCTTAATACAATTGAAATGTGGTCAGAGTCCTTGGGAAGCATTTTGCTGATTGTGGTAAGGAAGTTTGGAGAGAAAGTCAGAAAAAGGAACTTGTGCATGAAAATGCAGGAAAAGGAGCCTTCCTGATGACTCAGTGATAGAGAATCCGCCTGCCAATGCAGGAGACATAAGTTCAATCCCTGATCGGAAAATATCCCACATGGCTTGAACCAACTGAGCCTGTGCTCTAGAGCCCAGGAGCCCCAACTACTAAGCCCACAACTACTGAAGCCTGCATGCCCTATTGCCTGTGTTCTGTAACAAGAGAAGCCACAGCAAATGAGAAACCTTCAAACTGCAACTAGAGAGTAGCCTCTACTCACTGCAACTAGAGAAAAGTTCACACAGCAAGGAAGACCCAGCACAGCCAAAAATAAACAAAATTATTTTTTTAAAAATGCAGGAAGAACAACAGGGCATGTCTCACATTTCATCAAGTCCTAAAGATGCCATAGATTGACAAAGAGAAAACACTTTGTTAATTTTTAAGACATCCCAACTTCAGACATGTGAAAATGAAAAAAAACAGATGTGTTACAAAATGGTTCTTTTTCAGAACTCAAAGGTTGTCCTAAGATTGATCCTTTACTGGTACCTGAACAAAGACCTTTGGAAAATCTCAGCAATTGTATTCGATTGATAATTCCATCACAAATTTGGCAAAGAATCTAGGTTACAGATTAAATTCTTAAAATTCTTACCTACTCAGTAGGTGCTGTTTACTTTCTATATGGATTGTTTAAGATCTTAAGGTCAAAATACTGGTGAATATATGATCACTACTTGCAGTTACACTTCTAAATTATAATATTTTAACCCACTGACAGCCAGAGTTAGGGGATAAAAAGAAATGGGGTACTTCCCTGGTGATCCAGTGGTTAAGAATCTGCCCACCAATGTAGGGGACAGGGTTTGATCCCTGGTCTGGGAAGATTCCACATGCTGAGGGGCAGTTAAGCGCATATACCACAACTACTGAAGTCCACTCTCTCTCAAGCCTGTGCCCTGCAACAAGAAAAGCCACCACAACGAGAAGCCCGCGCACCACAACTAGAGAAAGACTGGGCAGCAACAAAGACCCAGCACAGCCAGGAAGAAATCGGGAAGTTCATCTGCAGCTTCATGACCTTTCTTACTGTACTTCCATTGGCAAAAAAAGGGTCATGACTGAGCATGAAGGCAAGGTAGGTAATGAGAGCCAGGGAAAGTCCAAAGCAATATGCCCAAAGTAGTTGTGAGAGTAAAACTGGCATTGGAGTGGTACCTGAGAGTAGGTGATACTGACAAGCAGGTTCAAGATATAGAGCTGGGAAAAGCTAATACACAGGGAGTATGAGGCAGCTGATTGCGGTCACTACAGAAATCATTCAGGGTTTGGTCAGCTAAGCAAAAGGGTAAGGGGAAAGGACTAGAAAATGTGCTGTGTTGAACATCTCTCTGGATAGCATTAAAATGCTAGAAACTTTTTACATTTATAAAACCACAGCAATGAAGAGAACAAGAGAAAAACCACCAGTAAACAGGAGGTCTCGATGAAAATTTGAAATATGAAGGACAACTATTGTATCAGAGCAGAAGCAGGGGCCATTTATACTGCTTGCATTAAGGACAAAAAGGAACCAGTTTGGCTGCAGGCTCAGAAATGCATAATACTATAAACATGAGACATGAAAGGGAAAGCAGTGAACTTAATGTTCAGTTGTATTTGAGACATTCCCCTCATTCCAAACACACTTCTCCTCCCCTAAACCATGTGCACTGTCAACCAGGGACCTACCCTCCAGCAAAAGATGAGAAATTTCTTCTCTGTAGAAATCAAATGGCCCTTAGGGACAGAGCTGCATTCTGCTTTTGTGAGTCCAATAGGAAACAGTTATCTTCTAGCTCCAGTACACTTATAACAGAACTTCAAAATGCATGAAATAAAAACAATTGAAATAGCTTTAGGCAAATTATCAGTCTCAACACTTGGGTAATTGATAGCACAAATGGACAGAAAATCAGGTAAGATAAATAAGATTATCAACTAACTTAACATTTATAGAATACTCCAACAACAGCATAATACACATTCTTTCCAAGTGCACATATTACGGGAAAAAAAAAGTTGCAAACAATTTAAAGTGGAAATCATACAAGATACACTGACCAGAATAGAATTGAATTAGAAATTGCTAACAGATATCTATAGAGTCACCAAACATTTGAAAGTTACTGACTTCTAAATAAGCCATGGGATAAAGAGAAAATAACAATGAAAAACTAAAAATATTTTGAATGAATATAACAATGTGTGGGGTGTGGCTAAAGTAGCATAAAATTTTATTAATTATGCCAATAAATCCAACAACTTAGTTGAAACAGAAAAAGTTGTTGAAAGGTACAAACTACCAAAGCTCACTCAAGAAGAAAGAGAAAACTGAATAGCCCTATTAAACTAACAATTTGTAGCTGACAACCTTCCCACACAAAGTACAGGCCAGATGGTACAAGTGAATTCTACCAAACATTTATGGAAGACATAGTAACAATTCTATATGAACTCTTCTAGAAATAAACTCATTCCAACTTATTTTAGGAGCCAACATTGCCTACATACCAAAACCAAAGAGGTCTGCAAGACCACAGTCTTGCATCCCCTAGAAACATGAACTGACTGAATTCTTCAGCCAAAGTGCTGCTTCCCTGAGGAGCAATTGCAGGCAGCTGGTTGCACCCATTTCCCATAGTCACTGAAAGATTATTTACTGTGATACCCACAGGAAGATTAGGAAACTTTAGGATTCTTACTGTCTCATGAGAAATTAGCATGATGATTTCTTTAAGGGCCAACACAAATCATGTAACAACATTTGCATTTTTGCTATGGCTATGAGAAAATGCAAACTGGGTCAACAATAGCACAGAATAGTAACAGCATAGAACCTGCATATTATTTCATCCTGGTACTGATATGTTCCTGTTTATTACCCTTGAAGTTGGTTTTCATCTATTTCTGTATTTCCATTCTAACTTACTAACCCTAAAAAGTCTCATATAAGACACTCAACAAAGGAGGGAAAGAATAACTCACTTGAGATCTGTTATTTTCTGTGGGATCAAGGACACTACATGTAGAGAACTACAAGAGTGGGGCTGGAGGAGAAAGAATAGATCACAAGAGATCTGATCTGCCTTGCATTTCCTGGTTTTCTTACCTATACGCTCCATACACTAGCTAGATGAAATGTCCTCCTGTAGAACATCTTTTGGTCCTTAACTACCTTGGCAGTAGTTTCTCAGTCTTGATAGAACTAGGTTTGACTTAACTGTGTCTGAAAATCTGACTATTGGGTAGGCTGCTAAAAATGGTATGGCCTGGACATTCATCGTCTGGGGCTGAGTTTTCTTCATCTTTAGTGCTAGGCAGAAACAAGTAATCCAGGAAGCTCTTTCCTTCACTCACTTCCTGTGTCTGTGAAGTGAGGATAAAGGAAGCACACACAGCTCTCAGTTGCCCCCAAGGGGCATGTTGTGAGGCCTCCTCAGGAACTGGAAAGAGTGGAGAATCTGAAATAAGTCAAAGGCTTTTAGGAATGTCTGAGATAACATTTTCTTAGTGGTACGTGGTATATCTTCCCCCCATCCTATGCTCTCTCAAACCCTCAAAAGTGTAATGTCCTGGGCAAATTTGCCCCTTGCCTTAGCCCAGCTCATCTCTTCTCTCCAGTTCATACAAGTTGTCACAGTCTGAAGAGAGGCTTGCAGAACACAAGGGTTACTTTGTGCTATCAGCCATGCAAATCTAGGATCTGCTCTTTCTTGGCCTTGTTGTTTATGGGTTCTGCGGTCCTGGTGGGAGGTCTCCACTCAGATGAGCCACTTTCCAGGTGAGATTCCTCTTAACCTTACAAGATTGGCTTTGTTCCTGGGAACCAGGAGCTGAACCTAGGGGACAAAATCATTTTAGTTGGAACCTACATGAAGATTCCAACTTCCAGAGCCCCCAAATCTCAGGTAGGTCTTTCAATAAACTCAAATCAGGACTTCTGAAAAAACACAGGCTGGACACATCAGGCCAGGCCCATAACTCGTTATGAATTGTGATCCCAGAGCCCTTAAGGAACACCAGGAAACCCAGAAATACAAGTGGCCCGTGGTGAGAGTCCACATTATACTGCGAGCGATGTCTTCCGGCCCAGTGCAGGGACGGATGTAACGCCAGACTAGGCAGACGGTTTTGTGGGGACGAAGCTAACGTGGATGTGCATCCTCGCGCCGTCTCCCGCTGCCGGCGCGGTTTTGAGGCACTAGCTGGCCTCTCTGAATCTGTTTCCTGACCTATGAGTGGATGGGCGAGGACTCCCTGCGGGCCTCACGGATTGCGCAAAGGCCTCAGAGCAGTGGCCCCCAGCAATACATTGGCTTTCCCTGTGGCTCGAAGGCGCCCACAGGACCTCAAGGACGGGACCGAACCTTTCAATCTCCCAGTGCTCCCGCCAGCAGTAAGAGAGGGCCGAAGCAAGCCCTCACGCAAGCTCGACCTGCCGTTCGCACCGGCCACGCCCCAAGAACGCTTCAGTCCCGCCGCACCCGACTGAGGCTGCGCACCACGTGGCGCATGCGCCAGAGCGCCTGCCCGACTAGAAGGGCGATTCCCCATCTGGCCTACAGGCGGTATCCTGGCCACAAGCAGGCAGTAAGACCTAAGCCGTCGGTCAGAATATGGAAGGGGATGTGAGGTGGCTGTTCCGCTAGCTGGGTTCCCGACGCAGGTGGAAGAGATGATGGGAGAAGAGACCTAGAGTGCAAAGTTTGAAAACCTGTTGACAATAAGGCTTCTCCCAGGAGGCACAGCAGTTCAGTGTGGTGGTGTTGGCAATTGTAGTAATCATGATAAAATACCAGCTTCTCAGAATTACTAGTGAGAAATGGAACACTGCCTGCCATATCAGTAAACAAAGGATGTCATAGTCATCAGTGGTTGTGACCACCTTTGAGGATGAATTGGTGAGCCCTAAGGGAACTCAGACGGAGAAGGCAATGGCACCCCACTCCAGTACTCTCGCCTGGAAATCACATGAATGGAGGAGACTGGTAGGCTGCAGTCCATGGGGTCGCTAGGAGTCGGTAACGACTGAGCGACTTCACTTTCACTTTCATGCACTGGAGAAGGAAATGGCAACCCACTCCAGTGTTCTTGCCTTGAGAATCCCAGGGACGGGGGAGCCTGGTGGGCTGCAGTCTATGGGGTCGCACAAAGTCGGACACGACTGAAGCGACTTAGCAGCAGCAGAAGCAGCAAGGGCACTCAGAAAGGTAACAAGGAATACCTGCCTTCTGGCAGCCTTCAGATTGCAACCACTCCCCATGGTGCGCCCTGAGGAAGCTCAGGATACTGGCCATAGCTGAGGTGCGTATCAAAGGATTGGTTCGAGTCCAGACTCATGTATCTTCCCATGTGTAGAAAAGTGCTAAATTCCTTGAGATGTTTGGTTTTCCTTTAATTTACAATAATTTTGTGTCATTCAGACTATCTACCCTTTATTGCAAAACCCCTGTATATCCTAGCTAACCCCTCGCCTCTTTGGAGCAATTTTCCCAAGGTTACTTGAGAGGCTGCCTCCGAAGCCTGAAGTCTTAATGTCTGTTGTATAAAACAACTTTCAACGTTTAGGTTGTACATTCTTTTTCGTTTGACATTGGCGATACACAAAATTGTTAGAGTGAAAATGCACACCAACTGAAAAAAAGTATCTCTCTTAGATAACGTGCACAACCATTTGACGTTTTACTCAAATGGAATTTTCAAGCCATAAGAATTTCAGTAAGCAATATAAACATTTTCTTGGTCAATAGATTTCCCAATATATTTTAAATTGTTCAAATATTTTGACAATTTCAAACAAATTTTCCAAGAGTCAGTGAGCAGGCGTACTTCGTTTGGAATCAACAGATGTATCTTTCCATGGCTTTATCTAGATGGCTTTATCTTTATCCAAGCTATTATCAATGCAACTAAACAATGCATCAGAATTAAATTTTTATTACAAACATGATTCTGTTCCAGAGTTACTAGTTTTTAGAAATGTTTTACAGCACAAGCATTACCACTCCTAAATGAGTATTTGGGTTAGTTGATTTTTTTTTTTTTTTAACTTTTTGGATTATAACAACACTGAATATTAAAATAGCAGTACAAGTCAGCAGATCATTTACAAAACTTTCAAAGCACATACACAACATATATAGAAACTGACACATGATAAATTTTGTGTTAAAGGTGACTGCATATAGTAATATCAAACACTGCCCTCACTTTGCTGTTCAAGAGTGTTTTGAAATTCTATGACTCCCAGCCATTTTTAAAAATTTTAAGATTGCACTATTTTAAATGTCATGCATAATATACAACTTTCAAATATTTATTCATATTATTTTAAATTCACATAATTTTCCCATAAAATGTGACAGCACTGTACTCAACAGGCAATCCTTTGCAGGGCTCAGAGGTGGATGAATTTCATCTGACACAGTTTGGTATCTAACCATTTCATCCTCTACCACCCCATTCTTTTGCTTTCAATTTTTTCCAGCATCAGGATCTTTTCCAATGAGTCAGGTCTTCACATCAGGTGGCCGAAGTATTGGAGCTTTAGCTTCAGCATCAGTTCTTCCAATGAATATTCAGGGTTGATTTCCTTTAGGATTGACTGATTTGATCTCCTTGCATTCCAAGGGACTCTCAAGAGTCTTCTCCAGGGTCACAGTTCGAAAGCATCAATTCCTCACTGCTCAGCCTCCTTTATGGTCCAGCTCTCACTTCTGTACCTGACTACTGGGAAAATATCCTTGACTATACAGACTTTTGTCAGCAAAGTAATGTCTCTGCTTTTTAATACACTGTCTAGGTTTGTCATAGCTTTCCTTCCAAGGAGTAAGTGTCTTTTAATTTCATGGCTGTAGTCACCATCCACAGTGATTTTGTAACCCAAGAAAATAACATGTCACTGCTTCCAATTTTTCCCCTTCTATTTGCCGTAAAGTGATGGGAACAGATGCAATGACCTTACTTTTTTGAATGTTGAGTTTCAAGCCAGCTTTTTCACTCTCCTCTTTCACCTCCAAGAGGCTCTTTAGTTCTTTACTTTCTGCCATTAGGGTAATTTTAAAATGTTTAGCCTATTTAAAACTTTTGTTTACAGTCAATTTTAAGTATGCAGTTTCTTAGCCAGTAAAAATTTTTTAAAGTATTTTTAATGTGCTAGAAGATGGTTTCATGTATTTTCCATCAAATATAATCAGTGATTTAATTACCAAAAATATTTTATTTGCGAACAATGTGACAGAATGATGATACTTTGTACAGTTTTACTATTTGGAAAATTTTATAAATTCAAAATAATAATATGTTCATTTTTTATTCTTCCCAAAAGTTCAATTTAAAAGAGTATTACTGCTTTAAAATTTCAAAACATATTATCTGCACTTATAACATTTTCAAATTTGTCTGTAAGAGCTTGGTGCTTTGAAAAGTAAGAGGAATAGTGGCTGTGAGGAAAGAAAAGGAAGGAAGAGAGTATTCTTTTTTTGTTGGAGTAGTCTTACAGTAAAAAGATTGGTAAAATTAAGAGAAATAATGGAAATTAATTACTTACCTATATAAGTTCCTACTGCTTTAGCACAATCTGGTGGTGATTAATTTTAGGTACTGTTAATATCAGAAATATTAATAAAATTTTCTAGTTACTTTAACTCCATTTTAATTCAGCAATGTAAATATACACATTCATGGCAAACTATTTAAAAAAGCATATATCTTATTTAAAAAAATGCATTTCCAAAAAAGGAGTTAGCCAAAAGCAGTAGCAAAATTACATGATTACAGTAGGCTGAATCTGCACATATCCCTTAAACATCGGAAAATAATTACACACACACCCTTGTCAAATTATTTTGTAAAATCTAATACTGGTACTCTAGTGAACATAAGCATCTCTGTGATTGACTGCTCAGACAGCATAAACACTGTTTTCACTTAAGCATCTTTTCCCTGGTCACAATTCTTTAGCTTTTAGTTTCTTGTTCAGTCAATTTAAGAATGGCGACTGGTTATACACCTAGCCACTGGTTATTGATATAAGCTCTCATTCTTCATAACAGAGTATTTGTATATACTGTTAAATTGGATGGCATTTAATACATTGTATGGAGAAGGAAATGGCAACTCACTCCAGTATTCTTGCCTGGAGAATCCCATGGACAAAGGAGCCTGGTGGGTTACAGTCCATGGGGTCGCAAAGAATCAGACACGACTGAGCGACTAACACATCCCATGTACTGAGGTTTATTAAGAAAGGTGTGAAGTCAGATTATCCTAATATTTAAAGTATTAACAATGACACTCTTTTAGAAACAAAATGGTTTTGCTATAGCTCCTTTCACTGTTTCATACCTTTCCTCCCTATATTAAGAAGTATATACGTGAGAACTTAGTAGACACTGAACTTCACAGTATATTCAGGAAGATATTTGAATGTGTTTGGTATAAAACAGTATAGGCAGCTAAATCCTAGAGCTCAGAAGGTAGGTACAAAGATGTGTTTTATACATTTGTGCTACAGGAGTTTATAATTCATTTCTCTTCCTCACCCATTCTATAATATTTATTATAAACACTGACTCCCATATGCTCCCTAGGCTCATCTGAAGCACAGAACACAGTAAATTATCTGACTGATTATTTTCTCCATTCTCCTAAGGATGGTACAAAATCAGTACCATTCTAGATGCCATAGGGAATTAAGGCTTAATTCTTTCCTGGAAACCTAATTGAGAAAGCTTGCAACAGACACTAGCAAATGTCCTTTTCTTCCCTATGTCTTCCTCCCCAGAATACTCTACCCTCAGACCAAGGGTCATTTACATAATGGCAGACTTTGTCCTGCATTACCATTCACGGAGGAAAGTTGTTTGAAAACTTCAAACAACTTCATATATTTAAATCTTAGGCTAGTCCTCTTAAGCTGTATTTTTCTCTACAGTCCCGACCTTTGCCAAGTTCAGTACGTAACAAGTCATTTTTTAGTGATTCTTTTACTTATTTTCTATCCACAAACTACAAAAATCTTTCTGGAGATCTAGAATACACACTTTTTGCATATGTTGCAAAATACAAAGTAAATATATAAAATTTGAGTTATAAATTCATGTGAACTGATGATGACAGTTGAGTATTTTGCTCAAAAAGATGGTGTGGATTTTGAAGACCTTTTATACTTATTAAGAAGATAATCAAATGCTAGAAGATGGTATGGTTTAAATGCTAACTGGAAAACTGTTAAGATGTGTTTTACTGAGCCATAGCAAGTAACTTAAGAGCATCTCATTCCACACTACATGGGTTGGTCTTTGCAGGCTACACATCTCTGTAGCAACTAGTCAACTGCACTGTTGTACAAAAACAGCCATGAACAATGAGTGTGGCTGTGTTCCAATAAAACTTTTTTTTATGGACACTGAATTTCATATTAATTTTCTGTGTCTTGAAGTATGCTTTTTTTTTTTGACTATTTAAAACTGTGAACAATTCGTAGTTGACAAGGCCAAGAAAAGCAGGCAGTGGGCTGGATATGGGCATCAGGCTAGAACTGGCTATTATTATACAGGCTTTTATATGTTATGCAAATGTTTAAATATTATAGGTTCCAATTTGAGAGACTTTGGAGACATGATTTTTTTAGATCTCTCATCTTAAAACTTACACCAAACAAGTTCTCTACTTTCTGGATAAATATATTTACATAAGAGAAAAAATAATTCAGTATACAAACTCCTACTTTAAAAAAACAAACAAAAATCCCAGAAAGCTATAAAATGAATGTTTCACCTTAAAACATAATTAGGAAACATAGTTTTTATTCTATGCAATATAAAACAATATGCATAGATTTGGTACATAATTTTTTAGTTTTTAATTTAGGAAAAAGATAATGAGGAAAAGGTTTATAAATCTCTCTATCCCTTTTATAAAAGTTGCAACTGACACCAGAAATTCCTCACATGTACAACCATCAACTCTGATTACAATATGAATTATACCCAGGATTTGGAATTTACCAGCATGAGTTCTGGATGCTCTTTTAAAAATGTAGTTATATCACAGAACACTATGGCTTCTACAAACTTTGAGATACTTATGAATAGGAAACTCCTGCTTCCATAATATAAGGAAACAAGAATATTTTTTCCATAATCATCAAGTATAAAAAAACTTCACAGTCTTGATTTACCTTTATCAAAGGTGAAATGATTCACTGCTACATTTCATGGATTATTTTGATGCTCAGTAGTTTCTAAACACAAAATAAATTCCACATGAACTCTCATCTGTGTGGGTTTTCAAAAGCAAGACACCAATACAAGATGTATTGAATTGGCTGGCAGAAGTCCATGGGCTACAGAAAAGAAATTAAATATAAATGTTCACCAACTTTATCCATTCTAATTTTACAACAGTTTCGGGTATTGAGACCTAGTTGGTTTCTTGTGTCTATCCATTATGAACAGAACTCAATCTTAAAACTCCTCAGGGTCATTTTTTGCTGGGTATTTCATCGAGCGACGTATAAGATCTTCTCGTCCAACTTCCATCATTTGTTCCTCCCAAGATTTCATTTCGTTATAATAACGAATTTTATCATCTTTAGCAAGTTGAACATATACCTGAGAAAGAGTGTAACTGTTAAAATGATTTCTTTAGAGGAATCTTTGCAATTAATTTCTGGGATGCTCTCCAAAAATATTCTAGAAATTATCTTACTAGTCTATATGTTAAAGGGGGGTTGGAAAGAAATATTCTTGAGAGATAAAAATTAGATGAGAAACACGTAAGAGATAAAGATTTTTAAGTATTAATGAAGTTGCTACAATTTCAGGGTTTGGAGTGTGGAAAAGCAACAGGGGCAGGGTGTGATCATCACTGGATATGATGACACTAAGTTAACGAGTGACACTGTTTTAAATACCAGTTTTATATGGAATCAAAAACTACCAAAAGAAAAAAGCCAAACTGGTTCCAAGAATAGGACAATAATTTAAAAACACTGTGTAATATAGGGTTGTTGTCACATGAATCAAGACTTGCCCTAATATATTCTCACAGATATTCTAACTAGGCACTTGGGACGAAAACCATACTACTTACTTGCTTTTGAGAATTAGAGAGATTTTTCCAGTGTTCATTTATAGCTTTCAGCTTTACCTGTAAAAACAATATACATTTAAGTACCGGATATAGGGACTTCAGTGATTAAAGAAAGATGCTGTTTTATTATTCATTCCAACAACAAACACTCAGATATCAAGAATCACAGGCAAAGACTCCTCAAAAATCTGAGACATAACTGACATAGAACAACACTTTCAGGTGTACAACACAATGATTACTGAAGTCTGTACCTTTTGACCACCTTTAATTACCAACGTGTTATTTGTGTCTATGTGCTCTTTTTTTTTTTTGACTTAAGTGTTTTAGCACAAGGGTTCCCCTTCTAACGCATCCTCAGTAATACTTGTTTTTTTTATAATAGCCATTCTAACAAATATAAGGTACTATTTCATTGTAGTTTTGATTTACATTTCCCTGATGATGATGTTGAGCACCTTTTCACATACTTGTTAGCCATCTCTATGTCTTCTTTGGGAAAATATCTATTCAGATCCTTTGCCCATTTTTTAATCAGATTTTTTTCTTCTGGGGTGGGGGAATGAGTCATATGAGTTCTCTAAATTATTTGCAAATATTTTCTCCCATTTGGTAGGATTACTTTTCATTTTGTTGATGGTTCCTTTGTGCAGATATTTATCTTTCTGAATTCAAAAATATTAATATTCAAATATAAGTTACTCCGTCATAGACTAGCTCCAAATACTGTTTTATTTCCTCTGTGGCTTAAATGCTTACTTAATTCTAATATTTGTGCCACCGTGTTTTAGTTGTCATAGGAACAATACAACACCAATTCTTCTTCTACATAGCTGAACTTAATTATGTGACCCAGAAAAAAGTTCTATGACCTCCCTTAGGCTTGGGAGGTTCAATCTATAAAGTGAAAGGGATGCAGGAATCCTACAGTTGAAGGAGAGGCAGAGAGACAGTGAGTACACTTCACACAGCCTGTGGTGTTGCTACCAGAGATCAAAGACTGAAGAGGAACATGGATGGCTGGAGAATACGGAGCAGAGAAGCAGCGGAGAGACAGGAGGAGAACGGAATACGGACAGGAGGGAAGGAGGAATACGAAAAGTACCTATTAAAGGCAGGAGGATATCATCAGTGATTTTAAGAAGTAGAGTTAAAACTATTAGCTTTACTATTCTGACCAGAACTTTCACTGAATTTTGTTTTCCTATCAACAAAAAGTGAGGTACCCAGATAGTATCTGAGCTTGTCTTGAATATTTTAAGCTTACCTTTATAAATACATTTAGTATATTCAGGGAGAGTTAACTCATTAAATAACTGCTCTCTTAGCTTTGGAAAGAATTGCTTTCATGCTTTTAGTTCTTTCATAATGTATCTTTTTACTTATGTTTAATCCATAAAGTTTCATATTCAGTGTGTTAAACAATAATTTATGAAGCTGCATGCATAAATAATCTTTCACCTAAAAAACTAATTCATGGAAAAAAAACTAAAGGGATGGGAAGGTATTTACTTCTGGTGCTATCTAAAATCACATTAAATGAGCACTCGCACCATGTGGGGACAGTGAGAGAAGGTGCCAGCTATGAACCAGAAGAGGGCCCTCACCATGATGTTGCCTTGATCGTGGACTTTTAACCTTCAGAACTATAAGCAATTCATTTCTGTGATTTATTTTTTTAAATTAAACAACTAAAATTTCTAAAGGCATAAAAACCACATAGACAAAGAACAGGAGAAGACACTACCAACACAGCATTTGGGGAGCAGAAAAGCAGAGCTAATCCCAAGCTCTAAATGCAGAAAGTGTTGGTCGCTCAGTCGTGTCTGACTCTGCAACCCTATGGATCAAAGTCTTCCAGGCTCCTCTGTCCATGGGATTCTCCAGGCAAGAATACTGGGGTAGGCAGCCATTCCTTTCTCCAGGGGATTCTTCCTGACCCAGGGATTTTACCCGGCTCTCCTCTCAGATTCTTAACTGGCTGAGCCATTGAGCTTCCCAGATGGGGCCAGTGGTAAAGAATCCCAATGCAGGAGATTTAAGAGACACTGGTTTGATCCATGGGTCAGGAAGATACCCTGGAGGAGGGCATGGCAACCCACTCCAGTATTGTTGCCTGGAGAATCCCATGGACAGAGGAGCTTGGAAGGCTACGGTCCATAGGGTCACAAAGAGTCAGATATGACTGAAGCAAATTAGCATGCATGCATAATAGTATTAAGTACTCAATACTGATCTAACCAAAATTATGGTAACTATCTTGGGAGGTAGGTTGATAGAAAAGTGAACAGTGGAATGAGGTAGAGATAAATGTTCATCTTACATAGTGAGAGATAATGCCTAAAATATAGGTAATGCTTAGAATTTTAGAAAAATCAGGAAGTAACAATATAAGAACATTATTTAGAGATATGGAGGTAAATACCACAAGAATCAACTAAAATAGAATGTATCTGCTTCTGGAGCAGACTATGACAGCACAGTAAAACCTGTATCTTTCATAACAAGCCTTATTTTCATTCTTTAAAACTATGAGTATGTATTTTTTTACATGAATAAAAATTATATAATTAAACTAATTTTAATTTTCAGGGATAAAGGCCAGCCATGAAGCTTCTGAGGTGATTCCAAGATGCAGTCAGAGTTGAGAACTACTGACTCAGAAGGATTCTCTAACACAAAACCTTATACTAATAAAACTAAATCCAACGTAGGTTAGTGACTGAGCAAATTCCAACTAAAAAAATAAACAGGCTTGCTGTTTTAGTAATGTAGGGCCATGGAAGCTAAATTTATAACCCAGGGCTTCCCTGGTGGCTCAGTGGTAAGAATGCGCCTGCCAATGCAGGAGACATGGGTTCAATCCCTGATCCAAGAAGATCCCCTTTTTGTTTTTCAGAAGTAAACTAAAATTTCCTACAACACTAAATAAAATGGTACTACTTTTAAAAGAAAAATAAAATCCCCAGGGAAGTAATCAGTGAAATCATATATAGCCAGAAAAATACATTACATATACACATCATTTAATCATATGTCCAACAGGATTTGTGATCCTACAGATCTAAATAACCCAAAGAATCAGAGTGGCAAAAACCTTCAAGAATTAGGAATCTGAGCAGACTTCTCTTACCATGGCATATTAGAAGAATAATACAACTGACAATTTGGAGCCTCTGAAAAGGAAATAAAGGTAAGACTAAGCCACAGCAAGAATGACAAGCTTTTTTCTTCTTTCCGCAGTCATAGATGCCATTCATATGTGTAATATAATACATCCCCATGGGTATAACCAACAATTTTTAAAGGACGTAACATGAGGCCGCAGGTTGCACTCAAACCCCAGCATGAAACATTACGCCTCTGCTCTCATTCTTCCCCAGTGACTGTAAAACCACTCAGAACTGCCAGGTAAGAGAAGTCTCCAGAACTTGAACACGCCTATAAAGGTGAAAATTTTGTTTTTTAATTTAAAAAGTTGATGATGTATATACATAGCTGAATATGTATATATACACATTCAAATTTTAAACATTTTATGTGTTAAGAAAAAGGATTTTTAGGTCTTATTTATATATACTATTTCTTTATAATAATTTGTCACTTTTTTTCACCATTTTACAGGTTGCACCCCTAAAGTTTCCTGTCTATGTTATATTAAAAATTAGAATAAACATTTTTGAAACATACAGAGTTCTGTTTTACCTGTGATGTGCCATTCCTAGCTTCCTGAAAACGTTCAGCTATAAAAATGTTATAAGCCGAGCGAGGTCTTTTCGGTTTTCCAAGCATTGTTAACTCCTAAGTAAAAAAAATTTAAGATGAGATAAAGTTTTAAACTCTATGATACTTACCTTTACCTAGAGAAACTTCATTCACTACCATGAATTACAGAATGTTCTTTAAAATGAATGTTATCAGTATGCGATTGTTCCCTCTTGGGGTCAGAATTTTTGATAGTACTGTTTTGAAAATTCTAATAGATTTTATGAGTTACTTTTCATACAGAAACATTTCCTTTACATATTATTTTCATGGTCTCCATGAACTGAATAAGTGAGCAGTATGTACAAAATCTTTTTAAACATTAAAAAAGAAGTTTTATCCTTGTAAGGCACCACTTCTCCTTGGACAAAGCATTACGTACCTCCACTTGACAATTCAAGAACATAAGGTATTTGCTGCATAATCTAATGAAGGACACTGCATCATCCTAACCTACTGAGCTTCTGAACTTAGACAGAGATTTATAAAATGATGGGGATTTTAATGGCAATTTGGTTTACAGTCAATAACAAACCCAACTTTCATTCATAAGTAGGGCTCCTCTGATTTACATATAGAGATCACTTTCTCGGCCCTGAGCCTCTCAGGAAAGGAGGCATTTTACATCTTAACTCTGCATTTCCCCTTTTGTTTCTAGAGCTACCGCTAGGGATTTCTTCTAGGTGCTTCACTTGCAACTTACTGGTCCCCACACCTCTCACCTAATCTTTAAGTAGTTGGAACTGGGAATCTAATGGGAAGAAAAATTCCAACAAGGAGAGCAAATGGAAGTCTTAGGGAAAAATCACTCAGACTTTCAAGTTTCTGGTTCTACATGTAAGGAGTTTGGAAGTCATCACTCCATCCTAATAAGGATAAAGCTGATCAGACTGCAAAATCAACAACTCTCAGATCCATAGAAGAGGGGACACAGGGTGAATTGCTGCTCCCAAGATTGGAGAGAGACACAGACACGTGAACACAAGGAGTCGAGACTTACTGGAACAGATAGAGGAATGGAAACCAGTGGTGTGCAAGAAACTGAACCACAGCAGACTAACTGCTGGAAGCTCCATGTGGACAACTCTGAGAGTTACTACCACTCATAGGAAAGCCTCATAATACTGTGAGGTTTTTCTCCAGGAACTTGACCAGATTCCCACAGTAAAAATCAAGGGGAAAAAACCCCTCTTGCTTCCAGAAGAAAGAAAAGAATCATTTCGAAATGCCAGAGTACGTTATTATTCTCAACAAGGCCTGCCTTCAAAGGAAACTAGTTAATCAGAACCTAATCTGCTAGGACTTCCCTGGTGGTTTACCGGTTAAGACTGTGCTCCCAATGCAGGGGGATGGGGTTCAATCTATGGTTGGGGAACTAGATCCCATGTGCTGCAACTAATGATCTGGTGCAGTCAAATAAAAAATAAACACATTTATTTTCAATGAATAGACTTCATTGAAAAGACTTCAATGAAAAGAAATACTAGACTACAGCTTACTTTAGCCATCCTGTACCACCTAAGCACAAAGCCACAGGCTCATTAAAGGTTTTTTTTGTGTTTTAATTGCTAACTCATATCTGACTCTTTTGCAACCCCATGGACTGTAGCCCACCAGGCTCCTCTGTCTATGGGATTTCCCAGGCACGAATACTACAGTGGGTAGCCATTTCCTTCTCCAGGGGATCTTCCCGACTGATCATCTGCATTGGCAGGTGGATTCTTTACCACTGAGTCACCAAGGAAACCCTTGTTAAAGGACCAAGACCTAATCATAAGACTGTAGAATGCTTCCCCTGTCCCATGCCTTACCACATTATGAAGGCCCATATACAGTTCCTTTTACCCAGCACATCATATGCCTAACTATCAAGAAAAAATTCCAAGGTGTACTAAAAGACAAAAAGCCTAAAGTAAAGAAACAAAACAAGCATCAAAACAGGCCGGGATACAAAATTATCAGACCAGGATTTTAAAACAACTGTGATTAATATGGTAAGGATTCTAGACAGCTTGCAAGAATAGGCATTGTAAGCAGAGAGGGAAAACCAAAAGAATGAACTGAAAAGAAGTGCTAGAGATAAAGGGAACTCCCTGGCAGTCCAATGGTTAGGACTCCAAGCTTCCACTGCAGGGGGCACACATTCAATCCCTGGTCAAGGGACTAAGACCCCAAAAGCCACACAGCACAGCTTAAAAAAAAAACAAACCTCGAAAATCCAAAAGTAAAGAGAACAAAGACTGAAGAAGAAAAAAAAAAGACCAACCAACCACTATGGGACAACTACAATATGCATAGTACACATGGAAGACAAACGCTGGGCTGGATGAAGCACAAACTGGAATCAAGATGCTGGGAGAAGTATCAATAACTTCAGATATGCCAATGACACCACCCTTATGGCAGAAAGTAAAGAACTAAAGAGTCTCTTGATGAAAGTGAAAGAGGAGAGGGAAAAAGTTGACTTAAAACTCAACATTCAGAAAACTAAGATCATGGCATATGGTCCCATCACTTCATGGCAAATAGATGGGGAAACAGTGGAAACAGTGACAAACTTTATTTTTGGGGGCTCCAAAATCACTGCAGATGGTGACTGCAGCCATGAAATTAAAAGATGGTTGCTCCTTGGAAGAAAAGTTATGACCAACCTAGAGAGCATATTAAAAAGTAGAGACATTACTTTGCCAACAAAGGTCTGTCTAGTCAAAGCTACGGTTTTTCCAGTAGTCATATATGAATGTGAGTTGGACTATAAAGAAAGCTGAGCACTGAAGAATTGATGTCTTGAACTGTGGTGTTGGAGAAGACTCTTGAGAGTCCCTTGGACTGCAAGGAGAGCCAACCAGTCCATCCTAAAGGAAATCAGTACTGAATAGTCATTGGAAAGACGGATGCCGAAGCTGAAACTCCAATACTTTGGCCATCTGATATGAAGAACTGACTCATTAGAAAAGACCCTAATTGAAGGTAGGAGAAGGGGATGACAGAGGATGAAATGGTTGGATGGCAACACCAACTCAATGGACATGAGTCTGAGTAACCTCCAGGAGTTGGTATTGGACAGGGAGGCCTGGCGTGCTGCATTCCATGGGGCTGCAAAGAGTTGGACACAACTGAGCAACTGAACTGAACTGGAATAGAGGAGAACAGAGAAAGGAACAGAAATACCTGAATAAGAAACTCCTTATATCTGCTCAATCCTCATTTCTGGTCCTCCCCACTCAAAGTACTAGTGAGGTGCATTAAAGAGCAAGGAAGAGCTCAGGAGAGAGAGTAAATCCTAATTTTCCACCCTCCAAATACCACCCCTATCTTTTCTGACTTCCTTTTACTAATTGGATTAGCAGTCTTAGATTACTATAATTGACTTGAAATTGGGCGAGTCCTCAACCCAAGAGATAGGAGGGCTTAAGACACAGGGATCAGGAAGAGAGATACCATCACTTCACATTAAAGGCTGGAATCTACTTTTCCAGAGAAGTAAGTTTTTGCTCTGACGACCATTTTCTGTGGTATATATACTGGATCACCAAGTTCACCACCTCACACCTAATACTATGGAAAGATGTAGTCTATCAAACAACAGAATTTATATGGACTAATACCTTAAACTGGAAGCCACTAATTTTGAACCATGTGGGATTTTTGATGAGGAAAAATCGAATTTCATCCTAAAGGTACTTTAACTTTATTAGCTACAATAGGCACTTTTAAAACATTGATAAGTTAATGAATTCAGTCTATTCGGCAATATTCAGAATGAAATTCACCATCATCTATAGAACAATTCAAATCAGTAAGTTACTCTAGAAAAGACCCAGAAGCAAGACTTTTGCTATTCCTGTTTTTCCTGTTTCATAACTCTGTTCCTACAGCTTTCACACCAGTCCTAATTATGTATTTCAAACTCAGACACATCCAAAAGGAGCAAAAACGGTTTACAATATACTCAAAGGCAAGTGGTCCTAGTGGCAGAAGGAAACTATCCTATATTTTCCTAACTGAAGTACATTCTCTACCATATCATCAAAATAAGGGGGAAAAAAAAAACCAAACCTGTATTTACAGATATATAAATTTCAGTTTTTTGCCAAAGAAAAAGACTATTGCAACCATACTCACTCTCTTTTTTATTAGCGCTTTCTTTTTTAAACGTTTCTGCATGATTTCTTTTTCCAAAGATACCATTTGACTTGGAGTTAGTTGTTCTTGAATTCTGTTTATCTCTTCCTTGTATATCTGCCAGTCTGCCCTGTAAGCATCTTCATATATCTATAAATGTAAAACCCAAATAAGAATTTAATAAACTACTGCTGGCTAATTAAACATAGCACACCTGACAGGGAAGGACAACTGCATAACTTCAAGAAACTGACTGAACCAAGTGGAAAATGTACTCTGAAATCCCACTTATAAATCATGTGTTCTTCAAATATGTTATCCAAGGCCTAGCAACTGGCCTCCAACTTCAAATTGCTTCAAAAACCAACCCTTCATCACCACTGCCATTTATCCATATTCTCATCATTTATGTGGATGAGAAAGTATGACATTCCTTTGAGATAACAAATGTAAAAAAATAAAAACAAACGCTGGGTCATCTGGCTCCTTAAAGGACATGACAGTTGTCCTTAGCTGCAAAATAACTGGTCAGCAATGCTGAAAATTTATATGCTTACCTTTTTCTCTGAATCAGGAAGTTCCCGCCATAGCTTAGCGATTTTTCTAATTAGTTCTGAATTTTTTGCATCTATGAAATGAAATAAAAATTGATGTCACCATTTTACATCTCAGGATCAATTTCTAAAGACTTTCAGGAAAGTATAATCCATTAGATCTAAAATTAAGTATTTTTACAGACATTTTCCCATACACAACTTAAAATGATTTAGTTTTTAACCAACTAATTTAAGTACAACAAATAATTTAATATTTTATCTAACATTGTTAAAGTCTATTATCTAATAATTAAATTAAGGAATAGTATCACTTACCACCAAAATGGTCCTCAGGAATTGATTACTAAGTTAAAGCAACTGGGGAATCAGTGTCTACAAGTTTTCTACTTCATATTTCAATCAAAAACATTTTTTTCAAGTCTCTCAGGAATCATCAAGTTCATAAAACCTGACTAAACAACAAAATATAGTCTTGATTCATATAACACCACCCTGTATTTCGATTACAGAAATATTGTTTGCAAACAAGCTAAATTATTCTAAAACCAATTCATTATTCTCCATTTCCTGCCTCATCTTAACTGGAATGACAAGGTATAAATGATTTAACAAACCACTTGTTAGTTTCAACTCCTACATTTTAAAAGATGTGAGTACTGAAGCATGTCTCTTAAACCAGTTCTTTACGTGACTATTACAGCTCATATGATTTTCATTAAGTGCCCTGTGATGTAATGCATATGAAAAAGCTTTAGAAATTATAAGACAAGCTCAGCAATTACTAATTTGGTCACTACCTTTACACTATAGCCCCAGTAAGGACCCAGTCTTTCTAGAGAGTCAACAAATCTAACTGGAAATCTTTCAGAAATTCAAGAACTGGCTTTCAGTCAAAAACCTCTTAAAATTAACAATCTGTATTCAGCTTTAAAGTTTATGCAACACATCCACAGAAATTATTTCACTGCGACTTTATTAATAATTCCCAGTGGCAGCAGTAGGAGCTAAGCAAGAGGTAAAATGATTCATCAATGGTCCTCTGGGCCAATGGCCACAAGGCCCCAAATTCAGCTTTTTCATCCTCTTTCCTGGGTACTTTCCATTCTACATGCTATTTTTAAAATACCTTTCACTAGTTCTCAATTACATTTAAAGCATTTTTATTTGGTAAAAATTACCTTACTGCTGTGCTTACACTGATTTCTTATGCATGCCTGCTAGGTCGCTTTAGTCGTGTCTGAGTCTGCAAATCCATGGACTGTGGCCTGCCAGACTCCTCTGTCCAGTTTTCCAGGCAAGAATAAAGGAATGGGTCACCATTCCCTTTTCCAGGGGATATTCCCCACCCAGGGATTGAACCCACGACTCCAATGTCTCCTGCACTGGCAGGTGGCTTCTTTACCACTAGCACCACATAGAAAGCCCATGTTATATCTATTTTACAGGCCATCAAACAGAATGGTTATGTTTCTGCATTCAACAGATGCCTGATACTGAAAATCAAGTCTGCAATTTAACTGCTTAGTGGCATCTTTACTACATTAGAGAAGAGTATATAACCCAAACTCCTTACCTGGGTTCTGAGCTTTAAATATGGGCAGCTGTTCTTTAGAAAATCGAACGTATGAAGTCATAGGCTTCTTTGGATAACCACTCAAGTTGGATGAAAACCATTTTGGAACATACGCAAAACTACATACAAATAAAAAGAAAATAACCAGTGTTAAACATTTAAGTACCCGTATTCATAATTATGTGAACACAGATGCCAAACAAGATATCAAGATGCTACATATCTGACACCTAACACTTCGACAAGAACACTAATGATATTTAAAATCCTGTCCTATCCAGGGGAAAGAGCTTGCAAAACTGAAGTTTCAAAGCCCTAACCTCCTAGCAAGGGCAGAGAGTGAAGGAAAGCATGTATCTACAGCTCCTGGGCCCTGCCTCAATGCCTAATGAAGGCAGGAGACTCCTGGAGCGACTTTGCAGGGGACGCCGAAACAGGTGCTCCAAGGTACGAGAGTGAGAAGGGATGGGACGAGGGGAAAGGTGGCCGGAAGGAAGGCCAGGGGTACTGATGGAGTAAGGCCTGGTCTCAAAGCCACCATCCCCGTGGCAAGGTCGAGGTCGGAATCACAGGGCCAAGTCAGTCCTGACCATTTTAGGGGGGACAGAAAGCGGGGAACAGCGTCTACATTCCAACCCCAAGGCGTCCTGAACCCTTCTGCCTCCTAAGGTGCAGGCGAGCAGGCTTACCTAAAGGGAGAGCGCAGTCGACTGCCACAGCCCGCGCAGAGATCCGCTCCTGACTTTCCCAGTGCATTCAGCACACCCCACATGCCCCGGAGAAGCGCCATTGCATCCGCTGACAAAGCACCGACCAGGCCCCAATTCCCTACAGCGCCCTGGCACAAAAGAAACCTCAACAAAGCCGACTTAAACCCGCGAGAGCGCCTACCAAATTTACTATCACACCCGCCACTCTCAAGGGTCTATGGGAAATCGGCTAACTTCCGGTTTAGCTAGGAGGCGGGGCAAGGTAGAAGGCGCAGGCGTAGTAGTGGCTTCCTTGGTGGGCGGGACTACGAAGAAATAGGAGGAGCTCGGAGGCGGAGAAGGGAAACTATAACCCGGCTAGCTTACAGAGAGACCTGGCCTCGAGGGGGCGAAGCTGAGCCGCCTCTGTCCCAATCCCACCCCCCCACCCCCCCGCTGCCTGCTCAGCCGCCGGGCCAGGAGGCTAATGGAGGCACGGCGGTGTCCTCACACGGATAGGGCACTGGCTGGCCTGTGACGACTGGAAGGGCTAGTACGTAACAGACAGTTTACGACTAGGACGGTGGTAGCTGTGCCGCCCACGTTGCTGTGAGGTCAGGTTACTGGGTGCTATGCGCCCAGCAGAGTCCCTCAGTTCAAGTAGGAGCGCATAGTCCAAAATTACCGTAGAGGAGGTCGGGTGGATCACGGTTTCTAACCTTAAAATGCAGATTCCCGGGCCTTGCCGCAGAGCCTGATTCAGTATGTTTGTGTGGGTCCCATGTCTCAGCTTTTTAAACAAGTTCCTCAAGGTTTAACAAGCTCTGATGCCAGTGGTTATGGGACCACATTTAAAGCAACACCGATCCAGACCATGGCCCCATCCACTGAGACTATCGCTGACCTAATCTTCAAGCTTGACATCCAACCCTACTTACTTTGTGGGGAGGAGACTGGCTAGTTATTTGTCCGGAGGCTAGAGTTCTAGCCCCATCATTTACATTAACGTCTTGATCTGGGAATGTCACTTCCCCACTGTAAGATTTAATGTCCCCCACTGCAGACGACGATGTTGGACCAGATCAGTCTTCCCAACCAAATCTCTGAGTACGTGTGACAAGTATGCCTTGAGATATTAATCGATGTGCAGTACGGCCATTTTCCATGTGGACAATGACATGAAAAAAGATTGGGAAAACCCAAACTAAAGCTATCTAAGGACCCTTCTAGCTCTCAGGTTCCATTTATTTCAAAGAGCCACATCCTGAAACAGCTTTTTCTCTGTTGGATAGCTTTGTAAGAAAATTCTTACTAGTGTCATATTGAGCTGAGAGTCTTTATCTTTGAAACACTGGCCCTTTGGTGCTACTACTAAACCCACTTCTTTTAAGTGGTAAGCAACTATCACTTCCTTTTCAAAAATTCTCAGGATTGAAAGGGACCTTTTAGGTCATCTGTTCAAATCTCTCACTCTGTCATGGAAGAAACAGGGTTGGATTTTGTTTGTTTGCTTATTTTCTGAGTACACATTATGTACAAGGCCACAAACTTAGATAAAAAACAGCCTTCTCAGGCCAGTGAACTCTAGTGGCAAGAGGCAAAGAAATGAACAGTTACATTACAATGTTAAGCTAAACGTATCAGATAGAATTCCTTATAATTACATTTTAGCTGATTTCTGCAACAACTTTTCTTTACATTTTTCTAGAGTGTTTTTATTCTTTCAGATGTTTGATAGATATAAAGTTAAACTTTTTTGAATAAAGTCTTTTTGTTGTTCTAAAGTGTCATTTTGATAAATCTTGCTATAAAGTTCTTATAAATCTGATCTATAAATCTGTTCTCATCAGATGTGAATATTCTTTAAGACTCATATACATTGCTGTGATGATTTTATTCCAAATTCAGTATTTACACAGAAAATATAATTCTACCTACTCACCCAAACTGTCTTTGTACAAAAAAGCATGTGGCTTTATGTATATTTACTTTATAAAACTTGAAGACTTACCACAGTGTTTTTCAGGGTTCTGTCCCTTTATTTTGCTTTAAAAGTTCACCTACTCCCAGTGTTTCAGTTCCAACTGATTTCCACTATCAGTTACATCCTCATGGTTCCCATATTTCATATTGAATCCATACCTCTCCTTTTACTTTCACATCTATATAGCCACTGTCTTCTGGACATCTTTACCGTCATGTTTCACAAATACCTCAGTTTTTCCTGAACAGAATTCACTATCTTTTGCCTATCTTGAACTCCTCTTCTTGGTAAGAGGCACCAGTATCCTATTGGAATCATGCTACCCAATATCCTGATAAACCATTGTGTAGTCTCCCTCACTGACCCTCCTCACCCATCAACCAACTAATGATAAGTATTGCTGATTATACTTCATTAACCCCTCTAGTAAGTATTTCTTCCTCTTCTGTCCCATTGCTGTAGCTTTTGTTTAGGCCAGTAGTGTGTTGGTAAATCTGCTCTCCAAAAAGAGAACCCTAATTTGTAGTGTTTGCTGAGATCTGTGGTGTAGATAACCCCACCAGGGCTGGTTTCAAAACATCCAACTGAATGTCACTGAATCTGAAGTTGGGAAGAAGTATACATGATTGCCTCTTCAAACCAGTACTGGTCAGCTCCAGTACAGCTCTGCTATCTTTTCCCAAACTTTTACAGGAGCTGTTCTACTTTCAGTCTTAGTTCCCTCCAAACCATATTTCACAATGTCATTAGGTCAGTCTTTCTAAAAGGCAAATTCCATTCATTGATTTGTTCATGAAGTGTGTATGGAGCACCGACGCTATGCCAGGCAGGCAGTGATCACATTTCTGTACTTAAAACATTCTGTCCCTCCTTTTTATCCACAGAATCAAGTTTAAATTGTCATACATGGCAAATTAGGTCCTCTATGCACTGGCCTTTCTCTTCCTTCTAAAGCTTCATTCCTCACTTCATCTTTGCTTGTAATAATTTATTAAATATCCATTTCTTATCTGGCTTAATAAATACATCAAAGCACTTCAATTTGGTTCTGACTTTATCACTGTGTTTTGTGTGACATGCCAAAGTTATGGAAATTACTAGATAAGAATACAGGCTTAGGGCTTCCCTGGTGGCTCAGTGATAAAGAATCCACCTGCCAATGCAGGAGTCATGGGTTCAATCCCTGATCTAGGAAGATCCCACATTCCACAGAGCTGCTGAGCCTGTGTGCCACAACTATTGAGCCTGTGCTGTAGATTCAGGGAGCCGCAACTATCGAGCCCACCTTCCACAACTATTGAAACCCTCACCCTCGAGCAACATGAGACACCCCCAGCCACAGCTAGAGAGAAGCCCATGCAGCAACAAAGACCCAGCACAGCCAAAACTAAATAAAAGTTTTTTTAAAAAAATAGAGGCTTAGAAGTTAGACAGATCTAGATTCAAACCCTGTGCTTGTTATTCGCTGTGTGACTTTGCCAAATGAAAACCTCTCTGACCCAGGGTTTCCCCCTCTGTGAAATGGGAACAATGATGATAGATTCTTAGGATTGTTATGAAGATTAAATTAGAGAATACATAAAAAGTTATTAGCACAGCCCCTGGCACATAGTAGAAGTTCAGTAAGTGTTGCCTATTATTATCCCCACATTATTCATAACAGTTGTTAGCTTTTAATTAAGTATAGGTATAGAATGGATTATACCTAAAAAAGTCATATTTGTATCACAGCCCTGTCTTTTATTTTATCATTTTTCTCTCCCGATTAAATAACATACATATCAGCATTGCTCCCCTCTTCCTATTGAGCTTTTAACATTTCTTAATTATTAGTGATGTTTGAACATAAACACTATGGTAGGTGATGAAAAATTAAAACAACACACCCTTAGGTTGGAGTTTTTTTAATGTTTTCAGAACTTCTTTATATAACCATATTTGACTGTATGATTCACAAATTGAAGTAGAAGAGAAGTATTATTATAATCATGGTTCCCAACTTACAGATGAGAGAAATTAAGTTCAGGTTACGATAGTGAGCTGTGGAAGTGAACACCTGGTCTTCCAATTCATTGTGCTTTTCCCTTTATATAAAACCATTCCTCAGACTCAGTCAACACATCACATCATTCCAGCCCCAGATATCTTCCTTGGATCTTCTAGACTATATGAATTTGTGCTGGTTACTTGTGATATATCATACAGCATTCTGGTTGTTGATCTTTTATGTGCACATATGCACATTTTTTTCCTCAATAGATGGTAAGCTATACTTTTAAAAATTATTTGTTTTGGCTGCAGATCTTAGTTGCAGCATGTAGGATCTTTTTAGTTTCAGAATATAGGGTGTGTTTTTTTTTTTCTTTCAGTTGTGGCATGCAGGACCTAGTTCCTTAAAGAGAGATGGAACCTGAGACCACTGCATTGCGAGCATGGAGTCTTAGCCACTGGACCACCAAGGAAGTCCCAATGGTAAACTATGCTTGAGGACAAGATTAAGTCTTATGCTTCTTTCTGTTCCCTATAGTATTAGCATAGTATTGATACAATGAACATGACTGATGGACAGATGGAGGGAGGGAGAAAAAAAAAGGAGATAAAAAATGTAAAAAGATTAGCTCTGCACAAATTATTTATATACAAATTTGACCCCATAGAAAAAATCAACTACCTGTTAAAAGTGTCATTTGCCAATAGAAAGGACAGTTATGTGTGGAAGGGACAGTTACATGAGAACCATGTAAAATTTGGGAACATTTATGTGATGTTCATCATGCAGTGATCATGGTTTATTGATGCTTGCACAGTGGTGAAGCTGAAGGTAGCACCAATAAACAGCAGCAGCAGTCAGAGACCAAGATAATTCTGTGAATAACAGAGGTAGATATATAGATATCACTTGGAGAAAAAAATATTCCTAAGAGAAAGCAGTGTTGCTTTTTTAATTATGGTGGATAAATAATATAGCTATGACAGGAGCAATCATCAAATAGGTTTATTACGAGGAATAGATGTAATTCTGGACTCCTAAACACACACAAATTATAGAAGTATAACAATTAATTGAGCAATACAATAAAGAAATTATAATCTGACTATCTCCTAGCTTATCTTTCCTGTAAATCAAGATTTTAATGAGTTATATATAAAGAAAGCTACATGTGTCATTTTTTCCTTCAAACCATTTTCATTTACGTAGGGTCTGTTATCACTTCACAAGGTTTTGCCTTTTAAAACAGTATACAAAAGGATGAAAGGGAGAGAAAAAGAACAAAGAAGGATCTATTACATGTTATTAGTTCCCAGATATCCAAATTAGTTTATAAATTACTTCTCAATTAGAACAAGGTATGCAGCCTTAATTATTAAGAGCATATCAGAGTTATTTTTAGCCATTGCTGTAGCAGTATTATGCAAAATAAATATAGCTCTTCTATTTTACTGATTCTGTGACTCAGCAGGAGGAAGGACAAGTAAAAAGGACAGGT